TTCTATTAGAGTTAGGAATTCTCACAACAAATGTCCTTACACTTCTGGTTGGATTGTTAATTTACATTTTTATTACCTTGGGGTTAATATTACAGGAAGAAGGCGGTATGTTGCTGCAATGTTGAAATAGTAGGCTTTTAAAATTATCACGACACAGAATAGTGGAGTATTACAGTTATATCTTACTTTTCTGGTGATTTTATATTACACACAAATTACAATTTTTCTGGAAGTTTTAAGGATGGAGATGGCTCAGATTATCATTGTTTATTTTGTACTTTGTGTACTTTGGTTGAACATGAATTTACTCATACTATAATTACTTATTTGTATCGCTATTGAGGCCTGCCCCAACTCAGCTGTCCTGATTTTGCAAAAGTACAACCATTCCCATGTGACTTTTAAAATGCAGGCTAGCTGGATTTAATGTGTATCTCACATTGCATCAGGTGTGTTTATAAATTAAATTATAAAGTTACTGACTTTGATGTTTAGCAGTGAGCTTTTGTGTGCAGTCAAAACAATGCTTCTTGTAACTTGAGCTATTAATTTACTCTGTGTCTTTGCCAACAGAGGCTTTTTTCCATCCTGGCTGTATATGTTTTCCAACTTGTGTGCATAAAGTGACAGGTTTAGGTTGAATTAAGCCCTGATTCATAACTCTATGCCTAATGTGAGTCTAATGTGAAGGCATGCTGTATCAAAATAACATTAGGCATTTGCGGCTCCTTATTTAAAAAATTTATCTGCAACATCCGAACTAAAGTGTAGGGGAGAAGAGTTTTGATGTCAGCTGTTGCTATTTTATAGAATTTTAAAATCGGATGCCGAAAGCTGGCCTCATAGTAAATTCCTCAAAATTAGATGTTATGTATCCAAAAAAAAAAAAAAACCAAACCCAACCCACAAGACAAAGAATGGAGTAGGCTACCACAAATATCAATTAGAAGCATGTAGACAAGAAATCTAAAATAAATGTAGACCTTTTGGACCTGCTAATTAAAGGGACAAAGATCACCTTATCTACAGACTGATCTCACTCATTGTTTCAAGATTGTTTTTATATTTGATCTTAGCTACCCAGGGACCAGGCCTGAAATTCACAGCTCATCCCTACATGGAAACCAGAGAGAGTACAATGGGTAAATAGCATATAATTCCATTAGCTTTTCCATCCCTTGCCTTCACTTCCATTGGCTGCGGACAGTGCTAAGATTCATTTAGACACATTGCTTTGAAGACTACTTGGTGTTAGGCTTTTTTTTTCTTCCCCCACTTCCAACTTGTCCATTTCTGTATAATCAAAGTTGAAAAATAATTTACCACACTGACTAAATAACAGTCTACAAAAAGACGTCTGCTAGCATATGCTGCCTTTAATTTTCTACTGGTAGTTGTAATTTTCTTTCACAGAATGGGTACTTCAAAAAAAAAGGCCAGTGAGAACTAATTCTGCCTAGCATGAGATACCAGAATTGACCCTACTTTATTTCGCACCAGCTTCAGTGTTTATGTAACACCTCATTTCACAGCTGATCTTTGAAGGTGCTGCCATCTTGCTTGATCTCACATCGGTATTGTCTTGAACTGCCCAACAGCTGCTGTCCAAATACTATGGCAATGAAGTCACTTCTCATTTTAACTCCAGATTTTCTTTCAGCTTTTGATGAAAAGCAGGACATTTCTTCAAGCTCTGAAACATCTGGCATCCAAGAAATGCCATCAGCTGTACCTGGTAATACTGGAAAATGTCATTTTAAATAGAAATTCTTACAGAGATTTCATCATACTTTTGGTATATTGTTAGTTAAGATTAACATGAATCAGAATAGCTACAGAACTGTCATAATTAATTTTATCTCTCAAATACAAGACTAAGTTAGGAAATTTTGTATGATGAAAACAGTAAATACTCTCTTCTAATTTTGGTCTACGTTCCTAATATATTTACAAGTCTGTATTGCTGTGCTTGATGATAATAGGTTTTGGCATGTCTTATTACATATAGTATCATTCTCTTTTTAAGTAGTAATACTGCAGATGGGTAAGAGTGAAAGCTCATATAAGTTTTGTTTAAAACCCTGAATGAAACTATTTTAATGGTTGAAAGTGTTGAGTAAGTCCCATACAAATAACAGGATTAATAACAATGCATATGTAGTGCATCAAAATAGTGGAGAATGGACCCATATGTCCTTTCATTTGAATATATTTAAAGCAGTTATCTAAGTAAGACATTTTGCTGCCAGTGAGACAGCATAAGTCCAAGGTTAATAGAAATAAAAACATGCTTATCAGATAGATTGCTCTATTGCTTGAATACAACTTTTTCAAGTAAACTGCAGAGCATTGCAATTAAAATATTTGCAACAAATTGATCTTGAGCTGGTGCTTCTATGGCAGTTGTGATGCTTTCAGACACCCTTGAAACCTGTTATATCAGACTCCAGTAAAATTAAACTGGTTGAATTATGGTATTTTCTTAACATTTAAATTACTTACACTTATTAATATATAATAATCTGAAGTATATAGTTTTTCTGTTCTTCTTTGCCAACATATATTCTTTAGGTTTCTTTTACTTCCTGTGTTCAGAAAATAAACTAAAACTTACCAATGCCTGACAAAATGACACTGAACCAATGCAGCTCTATCAATGCTCAAGGTTCTGCTTGTTTTACTGTCCCTGCATAAAGAAATATTTCATTTCCTTTCAATAATGACAGTTCCATCCAAAGTCTATTTCAAGTTGTTGCCAGAAATCCCTTGCAGGAAAAAGGGGACTGAATGAGTATTTTAGTAGCTGTCAAACTGCCTGTAATCGCAGGTTAATGGCAGAGCTTGCAGATTCCAACTATAAACATTCTTAAAATGAAGAAATGGAGATAAATTAAGTTTTATGCATTTATTCTTCAGAGGTATTAATCAGTCTTTATCATTAATGCATCTTCCATACTGAGAAATAGGAAAGTTTCAGTCACAGTTTTCTACACATTGATATAATAGCACATCCAAGTTCAATTCTTTATTCTGCATGCTTTGCCTGTAAAGAATGTTAGACTTCACTCTTTTCAAACCAGAGGGATCAATTTCCCAACACTTACAATATTTGGGAGAATGGAGAAAATCATGTCTGGTGTAGTCTGCAATTCAACATAAGCATTTCCATGCAAAGATAATCCCAGATTTGAAGGAGAGTTAAAAATATGATAATAATGTTTAATAACATATTCTAGGTATAGGCTTGGTATGAGATGAGAACCTTTAGCATGTACAGTTGTTTTTGTTTAAAGGACTTCCTTGGAATAACCTAAGAAAATCTGGGGTTTAGTTTTGCATGTGTGTGTGTGTTGGGGAGGGGAGGAAAGGAGAGAGAAGAGAGTGAATAGAAGGATGTTTCAACTAAAGGAAGGTGAGGAAGTCCAGCCACACCATGAGGACTGCAGTGAAATACTTTCTTACATGTTATTTCCCCTGGAGTGGGTCTCTTAGTGGTCTTAATCATCCTTTCTAAAAACCTATTGCTTAGTTGGTCACATGTTTATTAGCTCTTTTTAGCATATGTTTACTTGCCAAGGTTCTTCAAGCCTGTTTGCTCTTCCTCATTTCTTGAAGACTGATTAATGACTTCACATTTACTGTGCTCTACAGAGCTACACAACCCAAAAAAAGAACATGGTTTTTCAGGTGATGAACAATACTTTCAATCTAGACTTACTTTTTCCCTTTAAAAGCACAGTGTTCTCACTTGTGTAGAGACTGCTTATTTCAGAATGACTTTCATATTTGATTTACCTACATAGGGACTAGTCCTCAAACCTATGTCTCATCCTTTTTGGAAAACAGACAAACAGTAATGGTTAAGCAACGTGGGATTCCATTTTAGTTTTCATGTCATTGCTACTTGCTTCCTTTTATCTGCTGTGAACAGCTTCAGACATGTTTGCTTTTAAGTCTAAGTGGCAAGCCTATTAAAGAACTGTTTGTGTCAATCACTTCTTGATCAGCAGCTAGAAAGCAGTTTTGGCACAAGGTGCTAAAGGACCAGTCTTATATACCACCTTGTAACAATTTCATTTTCTGTTGGTGTAATTTAAACTCCAGAAACTGTAAAAGAAGAAGTTTCTTAGGAATTCTACCTAGCATCAGACATTGGATCCTGTTGCCACCATTTTGGGCTGCATATCTTTCTCTTTATTCACATAATACAGAGAGGACTTTTAAGCATTCAGTGTCTTTCTTGTGTTTGCAGTTAGATCACCTTGAACAGCGCAACTTATGCTGGGTAGTGTTTTGTGCTATCCCAGCAACAGTGAGATTCCTCAGCATTTTAAATCCAGATTTTCTTTTCAGCTCTTAATGAAACACAGATAGTTTCACAATTCATGTCTAAAGCATCTGGAGTCCCAGAAATATCATCAGTCCAATCTGGTAATGACATTTCTTGCAAACAGTGTTCTTGACGGCGAGGAATTACCAGAAGAGTTCCCAGAGTGAAATGTTGGTTTAATTTTCCTTTGGGGATTAGAACAACTGCAAGATAAAAATCTGCATTGGGTACTACTTTCGTTTAAGGCAATGTATATGACCTTTACAATGCCGGATTGTGATTTTTTATTTAATTCTTAATTCACTTTTGCAATACTAATTGGTGCTATTAACCATAATTGCCATTGACCAATTATGTATTACTTAATGTGATAGAATTTTAAGGTATAATGTCCTGGGTACTTCTCTGCCTGTGAAATACTGTGAGGCTGGTAATCGAAATTTAACTTCTCCACTATATATGGAGTATCCTGATACAGATAACTTCTGTATTATTTGAAGTTATACTGCTTTTTTATTTTATATTTACTTTGTTATTACTATAGTGAAGTTTTGTGGTTATTGGTTATTAAGACATCTTCCCGGTCAGTTACAATGTTGGTGTGTGTGAGATGTGTGTATTGGGAATTCTCTTTGTAGATTTATTTTCTGTTGACTGCTCATGTTCACTTGTAGCTTTAAAACAGTTAAAAAGTCAATCAAGTTGTAATACTGCAGTTGTGTAGAATATTCAAGTCTATTTCTCATGAAGGAGGACTCTTAAGCTATGCTGTAGTGGCAAAATTCTTACTAGGGAGCTGAAAGATAGTAAAGTGGGCATTGTAAACCCAAGTTCAGGGTTTTTTAAATAGCTCAAGGCTTGGTAGTCCAGATACGTCTAGGAGAAAAAAAGAAATACATGTTTATTTGGGGAGATAAAACATTTCTTGGCCTTTGGCATATATCCTAAAGAATCAAGCCAGTTTCTTCTAATACTTTTCTTCCTCTATAGAACAAATTTAATGCTGAACACAGGAACTTGTTCTGGTATACTGTGAACCTCATCTTCTACTGCAGACCCCTACAGATATTTATAAATGTTCTATAGTATTCCCCTGTACACTAACAAGTATATACTCTGTTTTATATTTGCCATCTTAACTGCTGTGTTTAGCCGTTTTTCAACTCAGTGCTAGTAAAGATGAAAACATTGGATAGGTAATTTAGAAAACATATTTGCAGAGCTCTTGTTATTTCCATTTTTCAGCAAACAAAATGAAGACAGAGAGGATAGTAAATAGCCTAGGCCCACAGAGAAGTGTGTAGTCAAATGCATCATTGAAAGGGAGAAATTTCTGAAACTCTTTCGATCCATCCCTGTCAATCAAGTCTATAAACTTTTATTGCATTTTCAAATTATTTTGTTTGCTTAGACTGGAGGAGTCGAATGGAATTCTTTCAGAACAAGAATTCCATGTTTGAAATTTTCTCTGTTGGTCCATCAAATTCGTGCTCTGCTGCTTTTCCTATGTGTTCTTGCAAGTGTGATGGCAGTTTCAAAATTTTGATTCCATTTTCTGAGGTATGTACTGTTTGACCTATCTTCCACTTGTGTTAAGAATTTGCTGTATGCTTTTATCAGAAACTTTCTTCTCTTTTCTTCAGTAATACATTCTTATACAAGTTGAGGGATTTCTATCATGATCTTTGCCTTTCACTCTTGTCATTTGCATCTCTTCACTAATTTCTGGAAAAGAAAAGTGACTCTTAGCTCATGCTTCTCTAACAGTGTGCTTAGGAGATTCTATGTGGTTTAAGTACTTCATAACTCTTCAGTATGAAAGCCTGCTCCTGTAATTTAAGGAGATGCTGTTCCATTAGAGATTCTTACGGATTTTGGTTAACAAAGCACAAGTTGTTTTTCTCTAGAAGTTGGCTCAGCCCTTGATGGAAATCCTCATGAAGTTCACCTGTATGCATTTTTCTGCAGAGAAGCTATTTCCTTTTTTTTCCAGGCATACATTTTTTTAGCCCCAAAGTTCAGATTTTTAGGGATGGTGAAGAATATAGTAATCACAGCTAATTAATTGTTTTTCAGATTAAATATAAGGTGGTAATTTCCAAAACTTGACAGTATCTTCAATTCAGGATGAAGTTTTGGCTACATGCTCATTGACTAGTTCTCAATTTCTAGTTTGGAAATATTTGTTTGATGCTAGAATATGGATTTGGGGATCTGTCATTTATTGCCATTAAATACTTGCTTACATGGTAATACAGAATGACAAAAAAATGATGTATGAATTATTTGGTAGGAAAAGTATATCTGAGGAACCACAATTTAAATATTGATTTATTTGAATGTGATTAAAGTGATGCCTTCACACGCACAGAGGATCTGCCATAACATCTCAAGATAGTTTCCGTCTCTGATCTTAGTTCTCCCAAGACCAGTCCAGGAGCCCACATCTTTTCCTTCACAGGAAACCACGAGGACAGTGATGGGTAAACAGTGATTCCATTATAATTTCTGTAATTTTGGCAATACTTTAATATGAAAAGCATTATTTTAAAATTTAGTCAAAACCTTTTGATTTTTTTTTCCTGTTAATGGCAATGCTAAACACATCAGTGAGGTGATCAGTCATTTATATAAAAAATAACAAGGAGATACTTAATTGTTAAGCTTCTCAGTCTCTCTTTGTAATTTTCTGCTCTATAGGCCTAGTTCACTAAAAGGTTAACTGTTTGTATTCTACATTAACTCAGCTAGGCCACCCTGATTTAAAAATCGAACAATACTATAATGAATGCTGAATGTGATATAGGCTTCATTCATTTAAAACTCTGTACTGACACAGCTTTGAAAAAAAAAAACCCAACCTATTCATCTGTAATATCTGAAGGCAATTTTCTGGTTTAATCTTAGCTACTCAGAGACCAAAGCTGAAATCTACTTCTCCTTACCTTGCAAGCCAAGGAACACTGGAGGGTAAATATGGTATTTTCATTTTTTCTTTTCCCCCGCCATCACTTGATGAAGTTTTCATCTGCTTTGAGCAATACCTAGGTTGGCTTATGCACTTTGGCTTGCAAAAACACTTCCCATACTAGTAACATTATTCTGATGTTTCAACCTATGCTTTTTTGCATGTTTGAAAAATCACTTTTTGTAGGGACAGCTGGCAAAAAGAATTTGTCACGCAATACCTGGGTGCCCCTAGATGAAGCTTTTATTTTGCAAATTCTTTCTAGAATTAAATATTCCAGTATGGCAGAAACATAATTTTAGTTCCTCTTAGTCTTGCTATTGATGGGCTATAGCTGTCTCATTGATTCCTTACAGGATATCAGTTATGTAAGTGGTTGAAAGATGTGCTAGAATTCTGCAGAGAAATTGCCTTTGGTCACTTGTTTGCAGGCGTTTCTGTACAGAGTCACTGCGCTTTATTAGGGCCAGGGCCTGAGATTTCTGACTGCTAGAATGAAGGATTTGGTTGATTCTAGGGAAAAGTGAGATCAGATGTTGAATTCTGAATCCAGAGGTGTGTCTCCTGGCTCCTATGTTCGCTCTGCAGAGACTGTTGGCATCTTTCAAGGAAATGTAAGGAGTGCTTTGGTGAAGTAGTCATTTAGCCATTTTTCTGCTGATGGAGAGCCATTTAGCTACTATTGTGTTAGTTGCAACCGCAGCAAGATGGTTGTCTGCTGATTTGGTCACTGAGTCAGGACATACTGCCAGGAGAAGGGCCCTAAATACAGACCTTTGGGGTGTTGTGAACCGGTGCTGCTTGTATTTGCTGTGGCAAGACTGTGTGGATATCTCAAGATCATTTCTGTGTCTGACTGTAGCAAGCCAGAGACCGGACCTGGAATCCACCTCGTCTGCTTCACTGGAAACCACAAGGACTGTGATGGGTAAATAGCCAGTCATTCCCTTCCTATGTTGGTTACTTTGGCAGTGCTTTTCTCTGCAGCGATGAGCCTGTTTGGATGTTTTCATGTCCTGGAAAGTGGGTCCACGATGCAGTTGCTGTCCCTTATGGCTCCTTATTAGACATTGCTCCATTTGAAGGCTTTCTGCTGCCTTTGTTGGGGTTCCACTTCTAGGCTTACTCTGCTACCTTGGGCTACCTCTGCCAGTTGAAAGATAGCATCATGCTGCTACGGGGAGTGATGCTGTGACATGGTAGCCTGCCCCAAGCAGGGCCACATCTCCTTGTTTATAGCTCTGTCCTGACACCACCCAAGCGACAGCAGCCCGCCTGCAGACCTGAAGGTCGTTTTTCTGTTTGATCTTAGCTACTCGAAGACCAAGGCGGAAGTCCACCACTCCTCCTTCCCTGTCGACCCAGCAAACCGTGATGGGTAACTAGCAACAAAATCTTCTTTTTTCATTTTCTCCTCTCACTCCACGTCACGCCTCCCACCCCAAACCACCTGGCCTCCTTATCATCTTCCACGGAGAGTATGAAGACTCGTTGGTGCAGCTCAGCTTGCCAAAACGCTCGCCACACTTGCAGTTCTGTTGTATGATCCCATGCTTTTTCCATTGCTGATGAGCATTTTCTGTGGGGGCTGAATGACATCTTGCATAGAGAACGTGCCTTGCCTTCGGCTGTGATTCCCCTGCTTCTCTGTGGTTTGGTAGTGGGTCTCCCTTTCTCTGACGCATTCAAATACGACAGCGTTCATAGGAGGCAAAACCCATCTGGGCTGAGCTTGGCTGGTGCAAGATGACAGCACTGCAGTTCAGCTGCCCACCGGGTTTTCGTGGTCCAATGGTGTGGCTATTGGTTGCTTCACCGCTGACTTGCAAAGTGGCTGGTTGTCATCTGCCCACAGCTTTACATTGCCATTACCTGGAATTGGGAATGCTCTGCTCTACTGCTGCTTTTGAGGTCACGGTGGGGTTTTAAGAGTGATGCCTCTCTCCAGCTTTCAGTGAGTCACGGCATATTTCTTCAAGGTTCAAAACAATGGCAGCCTTTGGCAGCTGGCCATGCTGCCGACCTAATTTAGTAACGATATTTCTTGCAGATCTGGTAACAATGCAAGACAGGAGTTGTCCCAAGAGATATTGTCGTGCTTTTAGCTGAACTGTTATTTCTCTTGGGCCTACGTTGGGGTGAAGCGTAAGTGTAGAGATGAAACAGCCTTAGATGAAAAGCCGTATTTGCTGAAGGCCTTGGATATGGCACTTGGTGACAACAAGTGGAGATGCTCTTTAGAGAGTTCACACTGGCGGGTGTACAAGACTGGTCCTGTGGCCTGGCAGGTTTTTTTTGAGATAACAAAGCAGTGCACGAGCATGGTGGCAAGCCTACAGACCTGAAGTCGAGTGCAAGTTAAAAGTGCGCTGAAAGTTAATGTATCCTTCCCATTGAGATGCAGTTGAATTCTAGGTTCCCAGGTGTGCTGGCCATGTCTCTGGGTGTCTCAGTCTAAGTGGTGGAATGTGATTCTGAAGCGCGATTTTGTGGCACTTGAATTTTTGTCAGCTGAGTGTCATGTACTTCCAGGTCTTTTCCAATGATGATGCAATTCTTGCCTATATTAATCCTTTTAGGATCTTTCTATCTTTTCTTTTGTAAGAAAATGCTTTCTATGTATCAGGAATTCTATGTCTCTCCTCTATTACCTCTGTTTTTAAATAGTGTTTTCAAATGGAGATTTTGTATGTCATTTCTTGTTGTGCAAGGCAGAAGCAAGCCTTTCTTTGCCTTTCATCTCTTTTTTTAGTTAATTTTTATGTTCTTATTTTTCCATCATATTGTCTGATGTATTTGAATATTTCTTCATATTTCTTGCAACAGCTTCTTCATCATTTGCATCACCAGTGCATCTTCACACATTCACATTAAAAAATCCATTCCATGTGCATTTGGGGTTTTTTTCCTGTCTGAAGTCCCTAGTTTCATAGTAATGGGTTGAAACCTGTTCAGTCTATAGGTTCAGATTATGCCAAAAGGAATGTTTTGTTTTGTTTTGTTTTCCAGCTTCACTGGACTCTCATCATATTACTTTCCTGTCCGAAACATCTGTATCTGCAGAAATATCAAAAATAGAGACTGGTAAATTGTGTTTATGATACTTTCATAGCTCAGGATTTGTTTTTGCATCAAGGGTGTTAACAGTTACAGGCTGTTTGCTCTGATTGCTTGGTGTTGTCTGGAACAGAACCTTGTCTGCAGTGTTTGGCAGTTAGGCTCTATAACTACATGATGATATTCTGTGGCATAGGATCAAATAAAAAACCCACAGGAACTAGTATTGTTTTGGGTGGTTTTAATCTGTCAGATGTAAGGACCACTAGCTAGACAGAGTCATTATCAGTTATGAAGATGTCTTCTTGAACGGGACATTTTACCCTGGGCAATTTTTTGTTAGTCATACCATACACTTTTTTTTTTTTTTCAGTTTTCTCCATTACTAAGCATTTTTTTCAAGTTATGTTATGTTGGAACTTTTCTTGTTGGGGTCATAGCTATCCAAGATTATATTTGTATTCATAGAAAAGGTATAAATGTGTGAGAGATGAGAAGGAATATTATCCTAAACCTGACAGTCAATATTTCAACAGTATGGTTTTGAATTTTCTGCCTCACCTTCTGGCTCTTCAGTATGTCACAAAAGTTGTTTTGATTTATGTTATGTGATTTATATAACATATCACAGCTAAATTTAAATGACAAATTACATGATCTGTGCTATATTAAAACCTATAACTCAAAATACTGGCATCTGTTAAACTGAAACAAGCAAAGCATTGGCAATAGAAATACCTGGTTGTAGAAATTCGTATTAGCATATATTTTAAATATGTAGGTCTCTTTCTACAGATACAGGTGAAGTCAAAAGAACAGCTATTTTGATGTTACACGCACACAGATCAGTTGACTCCTGTTGATAAATCTACTTTCAGGAAGACTGCAGTTTCTGTCAGGGTGTTTCTGTTAGGTGTGTGTGACTTTTTCAAAACTTTGAGGGTTTGTTCATGTCTTTTCAAGCTGGAAATCTTATGAAACTGTATTGTAGTGGTGTTGGCATCTTGCAAAGCAATGTAAAGCAGTCTTACTTTTTCTGGTGACCATCGTCATCCCCCCCGCCCCATTTCCATGCCAACATGAATCTCTCTCTCTGAGTTATTTACATTTTTCTGCAGTTGCAAGTTTGGCTGACCTGGAAAAATCTATGCCTTCACTTTCCAGAACACCTCATGTGCTAACAACAGCTATGTGTGATAGTAATGCATTAGATTTTCAGTTAAACCACTTCTGGTGTTTTGATAACAGTTTTGGAAATCCTATTCATCCCAGTATTTTGGTCATCCGCCATACTTGTCTTCTGCTTGAGTCATTATCATCTGTGCACCCATTTTCACATGAGCCCAGACAACTTGTGCTTGCTGCTGAGAAACTCACCTGATTGTGTTTCTGATCTTACCTTTGTCTCTCTAAAAGCTTCTAGAGCTATTTTGAGATATATTTAAATGACGCAAGCTTGGTTTAATAATAATAATAATAGTAATAGTAATAGTAATAGTGCCTAAAGCTTACTAAGAATCTTAGAAGTACTTGGTTTTTTTCTTGCAAGCTTAATTGTTGTACTCTCAAATAGATGGATGTACACATTTATATACTCTATATTGTTTATGCCAGCATAGTAAGCTTCTTTCTTACTATTTCTTACTGTTCAGTGGTTTTTTTACTTTATTTTACCCTTGGCTTATATGTGTATATATATGTACAGATTATATGACATTAAAATTCACTAACAAAATCTTGACAGAAAACAAAGCACTGAAGAGAATTAAGACAGTCTTTTTTACAGAAATATATTTGCAATGTTTTTTAGTTTTGTAGAGTATATTTGTTCTGCCTTTTCTGGAGTGCTTTGTGTTTATAACCATGGTGGTAGAAGTTCTTTTATCTTTATATATTCCGGATTTCTCTAAACTACATGGACCATGCTATCTAAAGTAGTATTAGCTTTGGTCGGCCGACACTTTAGTTTCAGTTGTCATTTTAACCACTAGCTTCAGCTCCCACTCTAAACCAGCACTGCTCCATTGTCAAGGTAAGGCATACTTATTGTGGGTGGACCTCTGCATTGCAAATTAGGTATGTTATAACCTATAACATTTTTTGTTTGTTCTTACACAACTAAAAAAGTTATGTGTAGAATTATTAATCATAGATACAGTGACCTGGGGTTTTTTTATAGCTTTCAGTGGTATTCGGCCTGTTCTTTCAAGCCCTGTGACAGCTAGTAAGCCTGAAATAGCAGATGCTGGACCAGGTACAATAATCTCTACCTAGTTCTTAATCCAGTAGCTCAAACCAAGCTCTAAAACTCACTGAATGAGTACGCTTTCAGTGCAAGTTTGGATTAGACCTTAACTCCTGAATTTTGAATTTAGGTTGCTGTTAATGCTTGAAATTGGTGCTTTCTCACACTTAAAATGCATACAGCAACTCATAGTCATGTGATTCTCTACAGTAGTTTGAAAAATAGGCCACATAAATAATTGAGAAAACAGTCGTATTGTGCAGTAGTGCTGATGAAAATACTGTTATGTATGCTGTAGATGAAATTCTACTGCTGTAGCCTTGTTAAAAATACTGAGGAGAGTGTACCCTTAATGGCATGAAATTGGTTAACAGTCACAGACACTCAGTGCTTTTGGACTGAAACCACAGTTGGATCGGTTGTCATCTTTCTATTCCAAATTTTCTATGGTTTTAATGTCTGACTAATTGATTGTTCAACATCTTGTCTTCATTAAATTCCTACATTTTACACCATAACATCTTCCTTAAGTAATGGACCAAAACTCAAAATGTTCAAATGCTCAACTTAAAATCTTAGTTGGCCGTAGTTTAGATCCAGACTAGTTGCAATGAAGGCAGGAGGAAATAAGCATCCAGAATTTCTGCACATCACAAATGTGATGATTTATGGTCACTGAAGCTCTGTGCAGTTCAGAAGACTGAATTTCTCTCTAATACATACTAAACTGATAAGTGTCCAAGCATTAGAGAAATATTTGTTGTTCCTGTAAAAACAAATTTGGTTTTGCTTATGAAGGGTTTCTTCCATTAGCTCTTTGCTCTCTTATGACTGTCACCATTTCTTCCAACAGCAACAAGTGAATCCGTTCTGGAATCTTTCACACCTAAAACTTCTCGTCCTTTTCAATGGCCAAGGGTAACATTAGGTAATGTTTTCATCCGGTGAAAAACTCTGTGTTTGTTTTGAGCACTTCATCCCATATGAATGCATTTCTTCCAGCATATCATTTCACATGCATAATCATTACTCTTTTTCCTGGTTATAGAGTCTTGTTCTTCCATTGGCATTAGACTGATTCTTCTTGATACATGTCTGTTTGAGAATATAGTTCAGGATGGTTTTACTGTCCTCAGAGAAGTAAAAGTTGCCTCTTGCATGAAAAAGTCCACCATCCTTTTATTAGAGTGTTCTGTCTATCTTTCTCATTCTCATAAACATGCATGTGTTGTCTTTGTCTCTGATATGTAGAGCTTTCATAGTGGAAATTTTAATTGTTTTGGAGGCATAGAATCTATTTCTCATCAAGGCACAGCATTTCAATATCATCTCCATTCCACACTTTAAACACTGATTTCATCAGAAGGCTTTGACATTCCATACTAAGTTGTCTTTTCTTCAGTATAAACTTGTGGCATGTGCTGTTTGTTGTGGGAAGCCCTTGTTAAACAATTTTTGATTGCAAACTGAGCTCTTTCTTTCAGCTCCAAAAGAAACACCACTTACTCCTTCTAAACTGAAACCATCTGCTACCCCAGAAGTACAGCATGTGAAACCTGGTAATTGTGCACACCATTTTTATAAGTCAGTATGCAGAGACATATGCTCACTAAAAATATCTAAGCAAAACTTCCTAAAAAGGACAGGAACTATACAATACATGAGCAACTTGACTAACTCATCGTTCTAAAATCAGCCATTTGATGTTGCCTAACAGAAGGAATGAGAGTTAAGCTCATCAGTTTTATGCATTTGGGTCCAGTGAGAAATATAAAAACAAGCTCTCTAGTTTTGTAACCTTTTTAAAGGATTGGAAGGGAAAAAACTTCTTCTGGGTGGCACAGAGTTTTTTCATATCACTTGTATAAACAGTATATATGATTATTATTTCTAAACTCTCTTTTGCCAATCCCCGTCTCCCACTTCCACACAGACATGCTATGGCAAAGATGGCATCTTTGCTAGTCACAACAGTTTGTTGATTGAAAGTGAAGTACTTCTCATGTGATCAATGAGTCCTCCTGCAGGGAGCTCAAGGGAAAGGATTGCCATTTTAGTGGAAATAGGAGACCTTTCTCAAAGTAGAAGGGGAAACTTTCATATACATGTGAGATGATTAATTCTTTGACCATAGGAACATTATCATCGTGTTATGTCTTTTTTCCTTTTCTGCTTTTTGATCAAAAAATAGATCTCTGTATTCATTTTTTTCTGATTTGGGATTAAGGGAGATGAATTTGCCTCCTTTAGTGATTCAGGTACTGGACCAATAAATATTATGGTGTCCATTATTAGAGCCCTAAAATGTTTCTGTTCTCGTATCTTATAAACAGGCAGGTCTGTAAAAAGCAGGAGTTTGATGTTTTATACATGTCTTATAATCAACTGCAGGCTCTGATTTAAGATTTTTCAGCAAGATTTGGCATTTAGAAGTTTCTTCTTTAGTCTAGATTCTCTGGTATTTGTTATGGACTGCAGCCAAAGCCCTCATCTGTCCTTTCTCACTGTTCTCCCATAACATAAAAGAAATGTATTTGTTGATTGAATCAAACAATGGATTAAAAATGTCCTGCAAACATAAATATGGGGAAAGAGCCTCAGAAGCAGACTTCCACACATAGCCACGAGCTTACAGTGTGTAGATTGGTAGGAAAGAATGCTAAAAGGAGTGTAGGGTGTTACGCATAAGAGTAGGACTTAGTTGCATGCTTATCTAGTCTATTTAAAAACAAATAAACAAATCCCCTGAACTATTGGAATGATAATGCTTTTGGCTTACTGCTGATACATCTACTGATCTGTTTGATCACACTTGAATTTTTCTTTTCTAGCCCCTAAACCACCACTTTTGGAGCCTAAAACTTCTCAGACTGTTGAACAACTAAAAGCAACACTAGGTAATACATGTTTCTGTAGCTGCTGGCCAATCTTCATTGCAGTCCACACCACAATTTGTTCTCTGTTACTTTCTCTCTTAGCTTTTACTATATTTAGTCCATTTATCTGAGGAAAAAAGTTAGGAAATAATCATTCATAAATACATTTTTCTAAACTTAGGAGAAGAAAGCTGAGGTTTTTTTCATATGGTTTTACTAGTTCTATAGTACAGTAAGATTTTGGGGATCAGAATTGTCTTCCATTTTGTTGGGAGTTTTTCTACACTTTACGCTCAGAAAATCACTGGAAACCCATTAGAAATAATATTGAAAGGCCAAGTGCAAGGTTTGTATGGTGAATGTTAATCCTAGAACTCTCAGTGAAGGATTCCTGTGGCACTAGATGGATGTTTTTATTCTACCGTTCTTTTATGAATCATTCTGAATGTCATTTTGGCTTGAAAAACAGTCTTCACTCACTTCATGTGTATTATTCTATTCTGTTCTTTCTGTAAATGTCATATGCCTTTCCACTGTGACTACTGCTATGAAACTTTTTCTTGGAAAGCAGTCTTATAGCACCGCTTTATAAAAATGAACAAAATTACTGACTATACTACCTGAAACTCACCTTAAGCTTTATGTGATGTCAGATTAACAGTCATATTGAGCTAATTACAGTTTCAGCCCATGCATGTGCAGGGGAAAAAAGGATTCTAGAACTGGTTGCTCTTAATTTTTACCATTTAGATGACAACTACTTCTATTTTATTAACAGAATTCAGTTATGAAGTAATTCCCTTTTATATTACTGATTCCATGTTTTTTGAGCTCCCTACCTGTAATTTCTTTACATTGTTGAAAATGGAGGACATTGTTGCATATCTTGTCTACATGTGTCTTTTGATTGGCTTAAAATTGACCTGGAGTTCAAAAGGATAAACAGCATTATTATTTTACGCCTTAGGTATCTTGCAAAAAATTAATTTGCTAACTTAATGAGAGGAACATTTTGCTGTGATTGTAAGGTACAATTACATATTATAAATTTACTTACTGACTTTTACAGTGAAGAACAAGCAGGGATTTTACTGGAGTAGTCTTAGGAAAAATTTTGAGAAGCCTTCTTAGCAAATCTGGTTTTGCCATTTGCTTTTGTTCCCAGTAGCTGTTTGTTGCTTCATTTCAGGCTTGAAGAATGTGATTTTTATGTGATACGGTGGAAAGGATAATCTTATAATCCAGTATATTTCTTTCAGCTCCTAAAGAAGCAAAGCTCACACCTTCTGCACCTAAACGTAGACCACCTGCCAGACCCAAAAAGCCACGAACTAAACCGGGTAACTAACTTCTGTAGCAAACATTTGTTACAACGTATTGCTTAAGTGGTATGCTTCAGTGCTTTTGTTCTGTGTGAAGCTCTGCACTTAATCATCAGAAAGATGGGCACTGAGGGGAGCTGTGCTTTTTGAGGAACATTATTCTTGTATTGAAACAAAAAAAAAATTGAAGCAAGGCAAGAAAAGTTTTAACTTTTATATCCCAAAACACCAAGTCTCATGGCCTGGCATTGAAACAAATTGTTTTTCTGCTTTTTATTTCACAGTAACAAGTTTTCCAACTTAGTTCAGCACAGGGTACAGAAAATGCAAATTCTGCCGCTTTGCTGGTGGTTATAGCATCTTACCTAGAACCACGGGATTTATATTGATTCAGTGATCATTAATGCGTATGTAAACTTAACCTGAAACTGTGGAAATAAGAGTGAAAACCTGCTCTGGAATTTCGTAAAGGCATATTTTATGATGGCAAATGAAATTGCACCTTCACACTAGGGTTGAACTTGGTCTGTGATGTATGTCAGAGGTTGAAAAGCATCTGGCATTTTCTGGAGCTGAAGAATAAGTGAATACAGTTGCAAAAATATTACTAGTGTTACATAGTTCTCATAGTTTAACCCCAGCCGGCAACTAAGCCCCACACAGCTGCTCTCTCACACCCTTCTGGTGGGATGGGGGAGAGAAATGGAAGGGTAAAAGTGAGGAAAGTCATGGGCTGAGATAGAGACAGTTTAATAGGTAAAGCAAAAGCCGCGCACACAAGCAAAGCAAAACAAGGAATTCATTCACTGCTTCCTACCAGCAGGCAGGTGCTCAGCCATCCCAGGACAGCAGGGCTCCATCACGTGGAACGGTGACTTGGGAAGACAAATGCCATAACTCCGAACATCCCCCCATCTCCTTCTTCTTCCCCCAGCTTTCTATGCTGGGCATGATGTCATATGGTGTGCTATACCCCTTTGGTCAGTTGGGGTCAGCTGTCCTGGCTGTGTCCCCTCCCAACTCCTTGTGCCCCCCCAGCCTGCTCACTGGTGGGGTGGGGTGAGAGGCAGAAAAGGCCTTGACTCTGTGTAAGCCCTGCTCAGCAACAGCAAAAACATCCCTGTTGTACCTACACTCTCTTCAGCACAAATCCAAAACATAGCCCCATCCTGGCTACTGTAAAGAAAATTAACTTTATCCCAGCCAAAACCAGCACAATGATTTATAATGAAGTTAGAAAGCTTAAAATTGCATAATTGTATATTGTAACAATATATTACTTAATCCTGGAAGAGATCAGGCAATATTATTAAATTCTTTCCAGATTCTCTGTAACTTTTTTTTTTTTTGCTCATAAAAAGAATTACTCTCTTCAGACCAAATAATTCCTTATGGAGCTTGTTAACTAAATGGTATTTATGACTTGGAACTGTCTCAAAATTGTGTGCCTAATTAGTTTTTCATGGTGATTACAGCTCCTACAACATTTTTAGTGTAGGAAATCCAGTATTGTATTACTAGAATAATTACATTTGTCTCTGCTGTGATGCCTATGTCTGAATATAGATCTGAATCCTGCATGTTTTTTTCCAAACAGCAGAGAAAAAAGCCAACTCATTTGGAAACTGTTGCATAAAATTATTTTACACCCTTTGACTGCTAAGATCAACACCGTATATCAATGTTTCCACCATGAATGGCCATATAACAAGTTTCTATATAACTATGAAGAAGGCAGCATGATTCTGTATTTGTATCCATGCCTCTTGATTGTCATTTCCTTGTTAGTGGTTTCACTGATCAATCAGATGGAATCCCAAGAAACACTTTTTAATCACAACTAAGCTTGTAAGAATCTTCCTTTAAGTAGGTATTTGTGAATTTAACATTTGTTCTGATGGGACAAATGATTATATTCTTGTTCAGAAATTATTATTTGAGACATAAAATATGCAGTGTATGGGGACAACCTGGCTTTGGGGTAGGTGGCAAAATGGTCAAAGAGCAGGATCTCCTCTGTATTCCATCGTAATTTGGGAGTTCAGCTTAAATTAGACATTTGTGCCATGACAGTGGTTGTCCTTAACAGTGAATCACAATAATGAGGAATATGTGCCAAATTGATACTTGATCACTGACTTACACTTTGGGTCAAAGAGAATTCCTGAAAGTTAATTTTGGCTCTCATTGTTAATAAGACTTTTGTACTGTTTCTGGTGAAGTATGTGTCTTTTTGCGGTGGAGAAAAAAAACTTCATTAAAAAAAATTATATAAACAGTTTTCAGGTTTTTCAACCAACCAACTGTATATTGTAGTGAAAGTTTAGAGCTTCATTCTTTTTTTTGATATGTGGGTAATTGAATCTGTTGCCTGCATGAAAGAAAAGTTCTTGTTGTCAATGCGATCATGTGCTCACTTGTATTATTGCTAGCATTAACCTCTCTATCTAAACATACTAGGTTCTCAATTTTTCATGAAAGGAAATTATAATTAATTTCCTACCATGCATCCAATGACACTGCAACATTTTCTTTCCAGAAAAGTACAAGAATAGCTCTTTGTAATGAACCCCTGTTGAGTCCCTGTAGGTGCATATAAATATGCACTCTCTTGTGCCTCTTGTACAAAATGCTAGTTCTTCATATGCATCCATGCATTTCCAGTTGTGTGATATGACACTTTTGCAAGAGAACTGCATAACTGTTTTAACAACAAAAAGGCAGAACTTATCTGTTGTAGAGGAGGATCTCAACCGCCTACTATTTTTAAATTTCTGTAGTCTCAATGCAGTACTGAAGTTAAGATAGAGTAATGTTAGATTGGTGCATAGTTTTCTTTCCCTTACCAGGACTGTGAGGGTCCTGGAAGGACTTCTAAACATGCATCTTTTGAAATACAGCCATAGCAGAGAACCATGCCTTCTCAGCCTATGAAAACTCTGCTTGATAACTTGATCCATGTCTGTCTTGCTGTTTCCTGTACTTCAAAGTTTTAGGTTACCTGGCTGCTCAGTGATTACAACCTGATAATCTGATAAATTGTTCAATAATATCAAGAGTAACTTTTATGTCAAAGTCCTCTTAGATTGCCTGGGAGTTTTATATAAATGCTCTCCTTTCAGAAAAGTCAGAGAAAATGAAAGGCATTTTATTTCCTCCCAGTCTTTTTCTCCTCTGATTGTCATTCTGAGAAATACATCTCCCAGCTCAACCTTTTCTTTTTATCTAAAAAAGTCTACATTAAATTTCAATTATATATCTATTAATTAACTTTTTTTAAATGAGCTGAAGGAGAAATCATTATGAGAGACTTTCACAATCTCTTTAGGATTGGGAGGAGGATAGCATTGTTGAATTTTATGTTTGAAAAAGAAAAAACATATCTGAGTGATTTAAGGTTCATCAAAAGAATAGGGTGCAATGAATATATAGCCCTAGGTTAGTTCTGGAAGAATGTGCAAAGTACCTAACTTGTAGGTTAGCATGCTTTTTATTGGATTTCCTTGCTTGGATTTAGAGCTCAGGCACAGATATGTTTTGCAGCATTCAGTGCTGCCAGGTGTAGAAAAGTAGTCTCCAGTTGTTAAATAGGTAAGAATTCCCTGTTGACCTTTGTCAGGACAGAGCAGTACTTCCACATGTGGCAGTTCAGAACAGGACTTGGCAAAGAACAAAGAGGTCCTACTAGTGAATGATTTTTCCATAGTTGCTTCTGCGTATTTTCATTCTCTACCTTTTGACCCCAACTAGTACCAGGGCCCTGTGGTTGGGAGAAAGAACTGATTGGACTGGACTGGATTTTTTTTTTCTTTTTAAAAAGAATGGTGTTGTCACTTCATGTCACTTCACTGAAAATTATAATGTATGACACAGTTCTAAAGGGGATTGTCTTGAGAGGTTTACCTACCCAGTGAACATTACTTTTGAGATCCAATTCCCAGAGAACATAGGAAAACTTCATAATTGCTATCTGTCAGAATTTTTTTTCAAGTTTTCAGTTCCCAGTAAAGCTTCTCCTTCCAAACTGAAGGTCTTTTCGCATCCAGAATAGCCTATGACAATGCTGGGTAATTGCTATGTCCTTTCAGGTAATCACAGAATGGTTGAGGTTGGAAGGGACCTCTGGAGTTCATCTTGTCCTACTCCCCTGTTCAAGCAGGGACACCTTGGCCGGTTGCCCAGGACCATGTCTAGTTTTTTAACATCTTCAGGGACTGAAAATCCACAACCTCTTTAGGCAACCAGTTTACTTAATTGCCCAAGTTATTTGTCCTGAAGGCATTTTGGAGTATTTTGCTTTTTAGAGTAGTTGCAATAGTATGAAATACATCAATCATTAGCTATAAAAAATGCCAGTAAATAAATGAAGATTTAAAATTCTGAATGAAATATGTCATTCCTTTATTCAGTCTTTTCAACTTAAACACAGTACCACAAATATAATCCCCTCATCATAAACTCTCAAGGAAATAGACTTTTTAATTAATAAAATCATTTTATATCTAAACTGACAGAGTTTTGGAAGTTTTAGGTCTCATATTTTACTGTATTTAAAAGTTTTAAGACAACTTCCTCAAAGTGAGTGTACTTGTGAGTCTTAAAATGTTTGTGTACTTCAAAATGACAATTTGTCAGTATGTCCAAAAATAAAGTTTGAGGTACATGGTACAATATTCATCAATCATTTTTGATTTCCTAATTAAAATCTGTATCATGATAAAGAGAGAGAGCACCATGAGGTATAGGTAATAAAACATAGGCTGAGAAGAGTCAAAGCAGAGTAAACAAGTGAAGTGAAGTTTGAAGGTTTGGATAAGCACATTGATTACTTAATGATTGTAAATGTATTCAGGAATGAAAATGGACTTCAGTTGTAAAGTCATTCTAATACTAATCAATTCTACCAACTTTGTCTTCAGAGTTCTTCATATTGTTCAGATTCTTTGGAGTTCTTTCCTTTCAAACTTAATTAATTACTCTGGATAGAGATGGGAAGATTTTAACTTGGTTATCTAATGTGCTGTAGCACTAGATAACCTACTGGTATCTTCAGCCTTGCTTTCTGTGACTTTGCAGTTATTTGCACATTAAATCTTTCATATCTAACCTTTGCATCACTTCGGAAGAAACTCAAGAAAATGTATAGAAAGATTTATCAAAGAAAAAAGATTTCTCTGGAACTGTTTCTTTTCAGTGGTCTACAGCCATAACGAGAAAAAAAAATTGTCAGGAAAACAGGAAGGTTAAGACTCAGAGAGCTCCTTTACTTGCAGTGCTTCTTGTGGCATAAATGCACCTTTTATTTTCAAAGAGCAGCAGAAGCTGCACAGGGTAGTTACTGTTGCTTGAAAACATTCAGTAAATTTATTACTTACTCAGTTTTTCCATTTGAATAGAGGGCAGGAGGTGGATTTTAATTGGGAAGCAAGAGCAGCTGAGCCATACCAGAAACTGAGAAATAGATATAGATGCATCTGTACTTCTCTCAAGAAAATTCTCTTTATTCCAGCAGCAACCATTCCGGTGTCAGTCACTACTAGGAGTCCCTACACATATGAACGTCCAAAGACTGCAGAGGGTAATGATTACAAGTCGCCTTTAGTCATTCTTCTTTTCATTGGTCTGATAACATGTGCAGTTGAAAACACTGTTTCCTGTAGGCTTCTTGCTTACTCACATGTGGTCCAAACCCAACAAATGGAAATACAGTCTTGGTGCTTTATTATTTCTCCATGTTTCTAGCATGGAGATATTGTCTTCTAGAAGACAGGATATCATTTCAAAGGTATCTGATTAGAACCTTCAATTACATTAAAAAAAGAAAGAATAAGAATTATTGCAATAAGAAAGATTTTATGAAATATAAAAATAATATACCTATTCTAAAAATAACCTTTAAAACTACTAACTGCTGAACAATTTCTGCAGAAGGGGAGTTCTTTGTTGCACATAATGGAGCATTGCTTGATAATTTCTCATATTTATGGAAGATGTTGTATCTTTTCAATTAATCCATGGAAACTCATTTTCAATTTAAGAAAATAAAGTAATTCTAGTTTTAGTGAGGAGGAACATTTATATAAAAAGTAACACATGAGAATTACCTTTTTTGGTCTGGAAATATATATTTAGTCATGTGTTTAATAAATATGTTTTTAATGTAGGCTAAGAAAAAAGGTGTTCTTTGCAGGGAGCATTGAAATTTATCTAATTAAAAGGAAGATTTGAGTCACTGTTTGCATTTACTGTGCAAATTGTATTCTGAGAAGTGCTTTAAGGTGTTTTCAGGGGTATAGCTTTGCTCTTTAAAACCTGGATGAAGCTGACTACATATATAATACTTTACTGGATGAGAATGGCTTTAAGTCTGTGCTTAAATGGAATCAATTTGTTTTGATGAATTAGCAACAAATCACTTAGATTCACTGTTTCCAACTGCAATAAGTTCTATTTCATAAAGTACTCTCAAAACTCTTCTAATGATCTTGATTTGCCAAGGTCACCATTGGATAACAATGTTTTCTTAGCATCATTTCTTAGCTCTCTTTTCTTTGGCTTTTGGGTAAACTCTTAGAAGCTAATTTTGCTGCAGAAGAACATCCAACTCTTTGATTATCCCTTTCTTCAAAGGTTCTATCTGCTTGTTTTGCCCATATCCAATACTATTTCATGCATTAAACCCATCGCACCATTTTATTCTGTGTTACTCATTGATATAAACTGAATGTCATTTCCTAGACTTCATTTCTTCATTGCTGAATGTGAATGTGATTCTTCTATGGTACACCATTTAATTTCAGCTTAAATACTGTTTTTTACAAACCAAGTTTTTTCCAGTATCTGAAATCACAATCTACACATCTGAAGCCCAGATTATCTCCTAAAACTGAAACACCTCAAGCTAAATCTGATAGGGCTTCTTTTGAAATTGTGTACTTCGAGTCTTGCTATTAGTGCAGAAAGTAAACAAGTGAGAAAGTTGAATTTTTTTTTCCTGGAGGAGGGGAGAAAGAAGTCATTCATTGTATTGGGATAATCTTATACAAAGAAAAACCAAATTGCTTCGGAAAGCAATTTGCAGACCTAACAAAGAATGTAATTTTATTCTGAATATGTGAAAGTTTTTTCTTTTTAAGAACTCACTGATTTTTCAAAGGCAACGTGAAAATAGAAATGAGTGTTTTATAGAAAAAGTTTTGAATTTGAATTCTGAAGGTAACTGATGGTCTTGAATAATGGCAATGTCATTGCAAACCAGGGATACGTAGTGAGCATATTAAAAAGATTAGTAACTAGCTTAAGTTTTCTATACAGTATCTGGCCATTGTTGACAGAAAGAAGTTAATACTGCTTTTACTGGCTTTTTTCCTCATTTGCAGCATTATTAGTATTAGGCTATTTTATACTGTGAATGTTGATAGAAGTGGAAGAAATACTGTAGTATCAAAAGCATCAATTGTAAAAAAAAGTTTTATAGCTTTATTTATTGCAAATCCCATTTTTAAAATAGGTAGATGTATAAGAGAGTTTGAGGGTTAAGTGAGTATAGGTTGTAGAAAAAGTTCTATGTTTAGGTGCATATGTCTGTATGTTATATGTTACTTTAGTTGTTACTGCCTTGAGAGGGGAGGTTTTATCAATTAATACTATTTTATTATATTTTCTGTACTGCCAGGAATTTTTTATAGATTCTGCCATTTCATAATTTAGGATTGTGATTTTTTTTTTCCCTTTTTTTCCCCCAATTTGGCACAGTTTGTGAGGAGGAAAAGGACATGATATATTGGTTTCGTGATACAAATTATAAGAGGATATCATGAGAAAAAACTAAGAGGCTTTATCAAAATAAGTTTTTTTGGATACTTATATAGCTGTACCAATAGCAGCCTGTTAGTCCTCTGCTTGACTGCTCACCTTAGAGAAAAAATTCAACTGTTTTTTCATGGTCAGCATGCCACTGTCAAGCAGTAGCAGATTTCAGTTTGGAGATACCTGACATTTTTGTATATCAAAAGAGTCCCTTGCTGTCTCTGAGTTAAGCTGTGTGATCTCCTCCCTTGCTTGTTCTATGATTTACTGTCTATTAACATATTTTTGCTTCCATTGCCATCAAGTTTGTCCAATTATATTTGTCTTATTGAACTTGTATTATTAGGAAGTTTAACTGTCCATGATTTTAAAAAGTAAAAGTTAATTTGAAGATCCGCATTGCTGTGGTGTAGTATTAGCTCCTGCTTTTATACTTACCAGTGGAGTAATTTTAAGTTTTTTGGAGTACATTCCATACTTACCCTGTCACACTGTTTCTGTTGCAGTCTTGGAACCTATTACACTTAGAATTGAACCACCAAGGTCAATGATAGGTAATGATATTTCCTTGGCAAGTTGTGTTCCCTTTTTTCATCACAGAAAGCATCACTGAAGTTAATCACCTTATGCCTTAGGATTGTTTCATTAAACTTCATTTTTCTTCTAGGTAATTCTCTTGCTTGGCTTTCATGACAGTTGGGCATATTACTCTCTTCACAGCTGGAACATCTTTTTTTTTAAGAGAATTATGCTGGCAGCTCTGAATCACTTTTCTCAAAATTACACTTGCCTGTGCTTGTCCCAGCTTTTTATTTAAAAAAATAAAACCTGAGCTTCAAAAATGACTAAAATTCCACTCTTTTGCTTAGATTGTTGTAAACACATGGAGCGTATTACCTGACTTTCTTTCCTACTTCCCATAAAGAGACTTTTTTTCCTCTGTTGCAGGTATGAGGCTTCTGTGTTTGTGTGTTCAACTTGGTATCGGACACTAATTGCTGTGCAATTTAACCAACTTATTGCCCACATTTTCTCTTCCAGCTCCAAAGGAGACTCAACGTATTCCTTCTAAACCTAAAACTTCACCCAAACCTCATATCCCACAGGCCAAAGATGGTAAACCACTTTGTGTGATTATTTCTAATACAGTTTATATTGGATTGAAACGTATTTCTGAGCAGCTGGCTAGTTATCTGAGCTGGTTAAAATGTAATGGGGTTCTGCTCTGCTGTGTGTTCAGTGATTTATTTACAGTTTTCAGGAGTAGTAATTTCACGATGTTATTTCCTGCATGAATGAGTAAATTACCCAGTGCATAGTTATATTTGTTTATAAATATTAATATTTATTAGCATTAATGATAATTTATGGTGTTTTCCAAAATACTGTATTTTTATACTATGTCATTAAACATGAGTGCAGTTGAATTCAGTTGTAGGCAGAAAAAAATACTCTCTGTCTTCTGCTATGCAGTTGGTAGTATCAACAGAAAATTACAAGGGTATCAAATCCCAACAGATGTTATCTTTTAGTAAATGTGAAAAATTTCATTATTTTTTTGTCACACAAATGTTACAGGTTTGTACTGTTCTGTGGGGTTTTTTTTAAAAAAAAGTTACTGTTTCTTCAAAAATCCATAACATACAGAACTTTTTTTTTACAGCATCATCCACTTATCTTGTGATTGTCTTGAAAGATCCAAAGACATTTTTTTTCATTGCTACCATACAGAAGAATTGGCACAGAGGGGGATACCATTTCTATTGTGCCTCTGTTTCTAATGTGGGAAATGCAAGAAAATAGCATCAAGTTCATATCCTTATGCCCCTTAAGCACTCAGTTTTATTTTAGATCCATATTAGTTTAGAGCTGAAGTATGTGATCATGCAACGCAATATACCACAATACTCTTTAATAATATAGTATCCAGAAAACAAGGAAGCGGCCTCTGATTCCAGTTGTATATATAAACTGCATTTGAAATACACCACAAAGGGAAGAGATTTGTGTCCCTAAAAAGCCATTTTCTGAATAAGGGAGTGATATATACTTGGATATCTCATTGAAGCCCATGGGAGAACTAAGCTCCCATTATGTTTCAGCTTACACTGCTTTCTCAGAGACTTAATGTAATATAACAGGTTTTGTTTGATGCAGTATACATAGTATATAATTGAAAATGCTGTTACTAGACAAGTAATACTAATTGTAAGTAGAATTATTCTCTTCCATTTTCATAATAGCTTTCATGTTTTGTTTCTGATGCAGTCCTGGAATCTATAACACTTAGAACTGATCAACTAAAACCAACAATAGGTAACAGTTTTACCTACAGGGACCATCACATTTAGCTTTTTTCTCGGTATAAACTGAGCATCACAAGTACATCTTCATTGTAGTCCACTGTCATAATTTTTTACTATTAAATTTAGTCCTTCTGTAAGATTTTTGTGATTTTGCACTAACAATTCATAATCATCTTGTTTGTTTTTTCTCACACAAATGTGTTCAGTAAAGTGGACGGAAGCACCACAATCTACCTTTGACTATGTGTCGCTATACTCAGTTTCTGTCATGTGCTGCTTTATCTTTTATACTTGTCCATCCATACTGGCCTTGCCTTATGTTATCCTGTTACAGAGGTTCTCCATCAGCACTGTTTCTTTGTGTACCAGACATTCACATTTCTCCATTACTCATACAAGCTTTTTGTGTTACCAGAGGGTCCCAAAGGCATGTGTTCTATTTTAATATTATGCCTTCTGGCCGTCTCAGTTCTTGAAAGATTTTAATAGTTGAATCTTTTTTTTGTTTCAGTTCCAAAAGAAACACAGCGTGTTCCCTCCAAACCTAGAATATCACCGAGCTCAGAGGTGCCACAAACCAAACCTGGTAAGTACATTGTTTCTTTATCTTATCAGGCTGAAACTTGTCTTATGAATTCTACTGTGATAAGTGAAGCTCCAGATTTATATGTATCCCTTGGGCATATAAGTTGTAGGATTCCTTGAGGGATAAAATCCAGTATCACATGTCATGACGAGTGGAATTTATAAGCAAGCTGGTGAGTTTAAAAGCTCTATCTTCAGTTCTTTCTTACATTTTAAGTCACTGCAACAGTGGGCATTTTCTGTGCAGTTGTTAGTGAAAATAGGTCTTTCCTGTGTGAATTTGCTTGGATTTTGGGAAAGTGAAAGTGAAAAGGAGGGGGGTGTTTTTTCTGTATTTCTCAAATTCTGTACTTGTGTTTTTCTTTCCCAGGCACAATCATTCATTTACACTTTTAAGTCTGCTTTTGCAAGCCCTTATGTTGTTCAGAGAATTAAGAATGTGTAATACTTTCTATAATGTTGTTTACACAGCTTGGTATAGAGAAATATACAACCCTGGGCTAATTAAGGATGGAGGAAGAAAGTTATACAACTCACACTAGCAATTGCATGAGGTACTGTGGTGGATTGACCTCAGCCAACTAAACATCCACTAGCCACTTGCTCATCCACCCTGCAGTGTGTTGGCATAGAGAATCGGCAGAGCAAAAGAAAGAAAAAGAAATCATAGTTCAAGATAAAGACAGTTTAACAAGTAAAGGATAAAAAGAGGGGAAGAAAACAAGTGATACAAAGGCAACCATTCACCACATCCCACTAGCAGACCAATGCCAGTCTAGGAGCAAATGGGTACTTTGGAAAGACTACCGCCCCTGCAATCCTTTATGCTGTAACAAGCACCATTCAGCAATAGCTAAAACATTGGTGTGTTACCAACACTTTCTTGGTCACAAATCTCAAATGGGGTACCACAGGGGCTGCGATGAAGACAATAAACTCCATCCCAGCCAGACCCAGTACAGGTATCCAAGCTATATGCAGTACTTAGGTGGTGCTGCTGGAGAAATGGGCTGAAAGATGACAACTAAAGTTCCTTTCTCCCCCAGCAAATCTGCACCTATTGTTTGAATCAAAACCTTGAAATAAGTCAGGAAAGTGTTTAAAGTTGAAGGTGAAAAACCACCCACAGTTTCTTTGTGGCTTCTTACAAAAGATTCAGATTTGCATTTGGGCTCTGTTCTGTATTAGAGCTATGGAATTCAACTGGAAGCAATTCTGAGCAACATAACACTCTGACATATAATGAGTCTCAAGGAGGAGTGATTGTCTGTCATTGGCTGTAGTAAGGATGGTGTGATCATTGTGGAGGTAGTGATTGTAATGTTTTGATTATCCTTGGTAATACTTGTTTTTGTTTTTTATCGCACTAATGCAGTTCTGGAACCAATTACATTTAGAACTGACAAACCAAAGTCAACAGGAGGTAATGATACTTTCTTACTTGAATAGCCATGTTGTCCTTCCTCTTCAACACAAACCATTTAAGAGTAGACCTGCAAAAGTTTTTCACCTTTCTTTGTACGAGCCTTAATAATTAAACAGTCAAGATTCTTTGTCTCTCTTCTTATTTTCTACAAAACAACTGAGAAGGATCCTTGTGCCTTTCAAGTTGTTATGCACATAATATAGAGCAATTTCCTTTAATATTTAATTATAAGAGGCAGAGGGCAGATCAGAACAGGATCCTGACTTCCACGCTCTCAGTCGTACTGTAGAGGTGGCACTGTTCTAGTTAGTCATAAGATTTGGGTGAGCAGAACTGAACGCTGCAAGTTTTCTTTCTCTGATTCCCTTCCCCTTGAGTTTTACTAAATGAAATTCAGCCCTTCATAGAGGTCTGAAAAATAGTTCTGTTTCACTCAAACCTCAATTCCACTGTCAGAACAGAATCACTTCGGTGACCTTTGGGTCATATGATTCCCTGAGGCAGATCCATTTGACAAAGGAATTTTGATCATTTGAATGTGGTACTGTGAATCATTCCAGTACAACCTCCATTACAGACCAGTGGCATCTTTCAATTTGAAGCTACTTATTTTGGTTTTTTCTTCTTTTATTTTTTTAAGTCCTCTTATTAAATAGAACAAGTAATTCTATCACATGCTTAGCTGATGATATGTCACAGAAGATTATTTGTTTTCTCTATAGCCTCATTTTGTTCAAAAAAACACTTCTCATCTGTATCACTTCCATCTTTGGTTCAAATCTTTGCTCTGTTTTTATTGATTGTTATGGGTGGTAGTGGACACCGATACCTCGGAAAATTTTAGTGCAGTGTAACCTAGTTTCTTTTTTCCAGCTCCTAAAGATACACATCATGGGCCTTCCAAAACTAAAACATCACCCAGTCCACGTGTTCCTCCAACTAGAGCAAGTAAGCTTATCAATATTTTGCCTCTTAGCGCATGAAAATTTTATCAATTTGAAAACTGTCAAAATTGATGAGTTCTCTGAAGGTACACAAATACTTATTGAATAGGCTGTGTTTTACTGTCATAAACTGTAATAATACTGTTGCTATATAGCTGTCATGGAACAAGATAGTCAGCTAGATATTTATACATGTCAATAACTTGTATAATTGTAGGGATGTGGGTTTTAACACCTATCTTGAGCCCTTCACATAGGAAAATTTGCATCTTAATTTCCATACAATGTGACAGAGGTATTTGTATTTTCTAGTTACTCATTTACAAGTGTAAAATACAGTACTTTCCTGTTCCGAAAACTTTGGAAATAGTTCTGTCCATTTGAAAATTAGTGGTAGATTTCAACATATCTTCTGCTTTGATTGCTTAGCTGGAGACTTTTTTTTAATGCAAACTTGATTTAAATGACAGCAGATTTTTTGAATATATACACTTGAGAAGCACAACTAGGGAAACTGCTAGAACAACAGCAGTTTACTCTGTAGAAAGCTCTGTTTGGCACAACTGAGAGGAGTGGAGAGTTAATCCAACACTGCTCTGCAACAGTCACTTTTGTCTCTGCCCTAACGTAATATTGATTGCATTGAGAGGACATCTCTTTGTGATTATTCTCAAATAGGAGAAATACATCCTAAAAAATTTCTTTGCAGAAATTAATCCCCTGTCAGGAAAATCAAAAGACTTATGTTGAATCATCGTCCTCAATAACATGTTCAAAACTTCGCTCATCTTCACAGGTCCAAAAGAAAGTCGGCGAGTCTCTTCAAAGCCCAGACCATCACCAAGGCCAGATGTACCACACACAAAACCTGGTAAATACACTATTGTTTTGTTGTGCTTGAATATTCAGGGTTTCTTTTGGGTTGTCTTTCCTCAATGAATCAAGTATTGATTAACATCTCTTCATATTACAAAAAAATAGATTCTCTAATGATGATTAAATATGCATTTAAAGAAGATAGAGCTCTTTTGTATTTTTAATGGTTGAGTTTTGATGGGTCATACATGCTTTTCAGCCATGTGACAACCGTCACTGATGAATAATCTGTATAGCAGGGTAGACAACATACAAACATTCTGAGAGTGTTCTTGGAAGGAATTGCATCTCTTCTGTGCCTATCAAAAGATGCTTAGAGAAAAACATATTTGAGGGCCTTCATGTAGAACTCTGAATATCTGTAAATCAAACCACTCCTATGTTTGTGTACCCTGGTAATGGAATTTGACCCTTAAAAATATACTTAATTGGGATTTACATACTAGTGAACTGCCAGACCTATATGACTCCTGATGGTTCTGAAAGCATCAGTTGAACCTTCCTTTTGAGTGAGTGTATATTCACTAATTCCACCAATAAATAATTCAAAACAAGAATAAATTTAAGTATGTGTTCCAATTTGAAAAGAAATCAGTCATATAAAAGGGACTATTTTTACCCTTTTTCTTGTACGTATCGCTAGTTCTGTGTACATTCTTGGTTTTGTGAAGTTTTGGCACCTACTACATTTACAGTTGAACAACCAAAGACAGCAACAGGTAAAGATGTTACCTTGGGCTGGTCATTATTTTTTCCCTGCTGCTCCTTGGATCAAAGATTATACATCACTAGTCTGTTTTTCATGTCATCTGTTTGTGGTTTCAATTTATTTTTTCTACTTTTTTAACCTAATTCTACTCTGTTCCAGGTATTGAAAGATTCCTAGCTGGTTTGTTGTCCTCACAGAAAATTTCTTTCACACACATTGTAATTCCTTTGACACTTGTAGGAGACAAGCATGCATGGATATTGCAGTGATGAGGTCTGAAATACAGATGGAAACATATCCACTATAGTTCTCTATGTTCTTTCAGTTTTTGTTGCTTGACTCGAGATTTCTCTTACTTGATCAACTTTCCACCCATGTTTTCATTCATGATTTTCATTTCTCTTTAAATTCCTGTATGTATCTGACACTAAATTTTTCAGTCTCTCATGTAAGGATCTTGTTTTCCTGTCTAATTTCTGAAGAGTACATACCCTTAAAACAGGTCTTTTCTTGCAGCTCATAAAGAACCACAACATACTCCCTTTAAACCTAAAGTGGCTCCCATCCCAGATGCTCCACACAGCAAGCCTGGTAAATTATCTGGTCTTTTGTCAAGCTGCGGTTGATAACTGAGCAACTGCTTTCAGGGCAGGCAGTGGGGGCAGTTGTCAACTGTACATTTGTTGTTACCTGGGTATCATTCTAGCTTAAGAAACCTCTTCAGTGCTGCAATTAAGTCATACCACTGATGAAAACTACAACAGCTCAAGATTTTTTTTTATATTATCTGCAGATATGCATATATATATATGCAGATGTTACCACAAGAAGAAATAAGTAGTGACCTATATGTTTAAATCAATGATAAGAAGTTATTCACAGCTTGTGTCTGAGTAACACACTTCAGCTGTTTGCACCATGTTTTTAAAGCTCTTATGAAAGAAGCCTCTCAAAGCTGTTGCAGTGCTTTTCCTTTATATACACATTTTCATCCAGATTAGACTGAGGATTCCCTTTAGTTGCATTTCGATTAGGATACTGTCCATCATAAATCTGAATGACCTGTATAAGATAATCAGTGATTTCACTGAAGGGTTGTTACTGTTGCTTTTTAAGTATTTAGATGTTAAAAACAAACAAAAAACTGAACTCTTTGTAACCATAAATCTCTGAGGATAAATGACCATTGTTGTTTTAAAACATCCCTTTCCTGTTGTATATAGTATAGAGGTAAAGGGTTTCTCTAAGGGGGTGGGAGGGAAAGGGAGAGTCTTTTCATTATTCTGAGCATTTATTGACATTTTTTCCAACAGAAATCATTCCAGCCTTCCATGAACCAGCTACTACTATGATTCCTCATATTCCTGAAAGAACAAAGGCAACATTGGGTAATAGTGTGTATTTCATAAATAATTACTCTACTTTCCATTTTTATTAGAGAAGATATTCTTAGAGAGAGTTCATTACATAATATTAAAAACTAATAATGAAGTTTTCCTCTGCTTCCAGATACTTGCTTGCCCTTTTGTCTTGATAAGGGTAATAATACATGAGCTCATTTACTTTTGAAGGTTCTTTTATTCGTTTTCTAGAGTTTCCAGTCAGGATGATGTAATTCCTTCAGATGTTGTATATTTTGCAGTAAAAGGGGATTTTATTTAAAGAGCAGGTAGTGATTCCTGTAATTTCTGCAACTGAGGTATGGATACTGTCATCCTAAAATGCTCTTCCGCTTCACTCCTGGTGGTGTAACTTTACGGAAGAAAATTGAAAGAAAATGGTAAGGTATCAACTATAGCACAACATACACCAAAACAGACCAGCTATGTGACCCTCCAGATCAAATACTAGTTCTTAAAGCCATCTTTTCTGCTAACTTCTAGTCACCTGTATTGGAAAAACTTGCTTAAATAGATGAAACATTAGCTGGGAATTCTTTCTTAACTTAAATGTCAGATGTGGACCAAATAAGGGTCAATGAATCCAAGAAGTACTGGGCAGCAGGAGTATTGCTAGAGCCGACTTTGTTAATAATCAGTTCTCTGTCCCCAGTTTTAGAGACAAACACTGGCCATGATTTTCTGAGAATGAAATCCTACCATCAATGAAGTATTAATAGCCATTTAATAATCTTCAAACCATGTTTTTTCTTTTTGAGGAATAGGAAATTAAAAATGCTTTTTATTGTGTTTCTATTTTAATATATATTCCCTGTATGCATTGATACTTAGGTTAGTATTCATTTGATATCTCCTTATACAGCTTTATGAAGTTTATGTGCCCTGTCATACCCATCTGGGTCTGCCTGATGGCAATATTCATATGCAGTAAATGGTTCTTCAGAGCAAGGGGGATGAAGAATGCACAGGCTAAGGCAGATATTTTGAGGACCTCTCACGCTGGTGTGGTTCACAGATTAGCAAGTGTTAAGATAACTTTTTCTAGTAAATGACTCCTACATGGCGAGAATTTTTAACTCATTCGTATGAAGATAATACAATTGAATAGTTCCCACATAAGAACAAATAAGTCAATTTATAAATCCAGTCTGATACAAAGGATCCAATGAAAAATAGATCCTGTCCTCAGATACTTACGTATGGCAGATGTGGAAGATGTAGGCTACTACTGTCTAATTTTGTCCTATCACTTTACTGTATGCTGTTCGTGACTATATTCTTCACTGCTTCATACAAAGCTAGAAATTTGTATATAATTTCGGGGAAGTTTGTTTGTGTCAGCAGCCATTTAATTTCTTCTCCTTTCTTTGCAGGAATTCCATCTGATTGATTTTCAGCTTTACCCTTACATTATTTGCCTTATTACAGATCAGGCTGTGCTTGTGTTCCCTGTGTACTATGAAAGTAGTGTGGTGTTTCAATTATTGTTCTGGGTGCTGTTTGTTTTTATTTCAGCTCCAACTGAAAAACAGTTCATTCATACCAAACCAAAACCATCTGAAAAACCAAGAGTGCCACACACCAAACCTGGTAATGGAGTTGTTCTTTTAATTTTGTGTGTAATCATTCTTTCCCTTAGTCTCAGGTTTTGTGCTTTTTAGCAGAACTATTCACAGCTGGTTTTGTGCTGATAATAATCATTACACTTAAGTCAGTCAATCCAAAATTTGCCAAAACTACACTGAAAATAGTAGTAGGATTTGTAGTAGAGCATCAAAAATGTTTTTCCACCTTCCTGTAACATACAGCAAATGATGACTAAAATGCAGCAATGTGGCTGTGGACAAATTTCAGTGGCTAGATAGACTGAGTTCTCTCTGATTACTTCCTGGTAATCAGAGATGCTTCTCTGTGAGCACTTTCTTTCATCCATAAAATGCCACAGAACTCCCTTGCAATGTGCTTGTGCAGTTAGCTGACATTGTGCACTATACGGAAACAAAAGTAGTCTTAAAAGTAGTTACAGGGGACTGTGTCTCTTCCCATTTTTTGTTATAGAAGGAATTTATAGGATAAGTTAATAGAAAGATAATGATATCTGTCAGCAGTTGATTTTTAAGATATTCTGCCACTGTTTGGGGCATTTTGAAAGTTTCAGAAATAGAGCAAATGCTACTTGTTTCTATTTCTAGATTAATATTCTAAGATTCTTCACATTTTCTCCTTAACAGCCATACATCAGACAACTCCACAACCAATTATTACAAAATCTTCTACTACCACTGAGCATTCAAGGGCAACAATGGGTAAATAAATTTCCTTAAAAATTAAGGTGCAGGTACTTTTAATTTTTAATGGAGAAATTTCTAGAGAACACACTCTGATGTGGTATTTTGTATAACATCATTCCACTATCCTGCATTCTACTTACACACGCGCATGTTTCTTAATATACATGAGTCTCAGTCAGTTCTGTCTCAGAAGTGAAGCAGAAATAGCCTACAGCTCGTGGCTGGTCAGAAGCCTGTATTTGTCAGATCTCCAATCAAATTCAGTGGTCTAATTTTTCTTTTAGAGCAAGAAGTTTAGCCAGTAACTCAACTTATCCTACAGCACAGTGCTAGAACTTTTCTGTGTTTTGGATAGCCATTTTGTTTCAGGTTCCAGAAAGCCATGGAATTGTTATTGTGTTTTTTTCAGGCATTTGAGGCATGCATTTTCTGTGTGCTAAATATGGCATTGGATCGTGACTCCTGAAGAATAAAATAATAATCTTTTTCCTTTTCTTTCAGTTCCAAAAGAAACACTGCTCATTCCTTCCAAACCCAAAACATCTGTTGGGCCAGAAGTACCACAGACTAAACCTGGTAATTTAAAGTTTTTAACTTTAAAAATGTTATTGTGGCACTGCCTTAGTTACATTTTCTGTTGTCATTCAGTACTGCAGTCATGTGACATGCATGATATGTAGATAGAAATTAGTACCATTGTTCAGCTCAGAGTATATTAATAAACTATATCAAAGAGAATGCCCAGGAATTGCATCAATTTCCATGGAGAGCAGAAGTTAAGATGGTTGGGTTTTTTAATATGTTTGTTGAATTGGTGGGTAGTAGCCATTAAAAATGTGAAGAATTCTATTAATTTTAATAAAAATATATTGCTGTAGCCAGCTTCACCAAGTTCTTTTCTTTGCAGGGATTTTATTACCCTAAATACATTTGCTTCAATTTCTCAAGTACTTTTGAAACTTGGATTACAGAATCTCAGTCCAAGATAGTTAGATGCTAAGAGTATAAGTACCTTCTTTCTACAGTAGATTTAGGGATGCATAGTTATATTGAAGGATGATGATACCTCAGCTTTACCCTGGGTGTGAACTATTTCCATAAAAATTACTAGGTAGGAAGGTTACAGAAAAAAAAAAATCATTAGGGGAGGAGTGACAACATGATTATAAGAAAGAGCAGCTCCTAATCTTTCTTCCTCTCTGATCTAACCTCCAAACTGATATTTTAGTTTTAGGTAAATAGGTTAATGAATAGTTTTATAATTTCCCCCTTTTTTCCCCCTTAGACTTCTAGCCCTTTTTATATAGCCAAAAAGAATTTAAGCAGAGACTCTATTCATTCAAGAACTGTACATATATATTACTATGAAAATCAAACTGAACAGTCCAGGAAAATTATATCATTTCTAAAGGCCTTATTTTGAAAGGCTTTCTGTTAAATAACTAAGCTAGATTCCAAGTCTCAACTGAATAAGAGCTATTTCCAATCATATAATTGTTAACAAGTGCCATGTTTTGGTACCACTACAAAGTTAATTTTAGACAAAGAATTTTAGAAAGCAGAATTTATAGGTTTATTCTTTTCCTTTTAGATATTAAATCAATATAGTGATGTAAATGCAAAATAAACTACTGTTAGGAAAGTTGTTAAAAACAAATGGCACACTTTAGCCACTGCCTTTTATGCTAGTAAGTAGGTTACGTTCCAGCTTCCATATTTTAACGTTATTTCTGAAAGACAGAGACATGTAGTGTGTTCCTCTGCCTGTCAGTCTCTCCTTTTCATCCAGTAACTTAGATATCTTTCACTAAATTCAATCAAATTTGAGTGAGGGAAGAATGTCTGAAAGATAAATACATTACTACAAGCTTTTACAAATTTTTTAGGGAAGTGCAAATTAATATACCCAGTGTGAGAAAGACCAAAGACTGTCAGAATTCCACCTTTAGGGCATTTGTTCTGAAGTTGGTGGGGGCCCAGCAAGATAGTTGCGCTGTCTGGCAGTCAGTATGAAAATGCATCCAGACTAATCAGAACACGTGTCTGTCTCATGTCTGTTAAAATTGTCTTAGCAGATGTGTAGCTAGGTTTTTAGGAAACAAAGGACACAGATCCTTAATGAAATCCAACTTCTATAATTTCACTTCTCACAGAACAATGTTTTATTTCTTGTAGCTCCAAGGGCAACACACCTGGGATCAATTAACCTTATAACAGTTCATGTTGTTGATGGGTCCAAAATTACTTTGGGTAATGAGAATATTATGTCAGTTTATTTTTCATAAAACTTTACTTTCTCTGCTTTTGCTATATGGCTAAACTTACACTTTCATCAACAGACATGCCTTAATATGTCTTTGTCATGTTCATTTGTTAGTCACATTCCAGTGCATGTACAAAATATTGCTGGTTTTAATTTTCCGCCATTTCTTCTTTTATGCAATTCTTTCTAAAAGGAAGTACTTCATGTACAAGGCTGAGGAGTCATATAAAAAGGCATTACCTGATTATCTTTTCTTCTTTTGTCTGACTTACTAATGATATATAGCTTCCCAGTCTTGAAAAGTCTTTTATCTGTACGAAAGCATGATTTTCAGCCAGGTTCCTAGCACTGACTCTTTTTATTTATGATCTGCACAGAGACAGTTTGAATTTCCCTTCCACCTGCAGTGTCTTATGTTTAAAAGGAAGTAAGTCACATTTGATAAGCAATAATATCTCCACTTTCAGTTCCCAATGAAACATATGAGATTTCACCCAAGCCCAAAACTGGTCTGGCAACTGAAATTCCACGGTTCAATACAGGTAATTTTTAGGATTTTCTTAAGTTGTATTGAGAGTCTGTAGATCTTAAGTAAAATCAATACGGTTTAAGGTTTAATGGTCTGATCACAATTACCTTTAAAACTATTTCAAATATGTAACATGAAAATTTATTTTTCCCCTTATCAAATGTTTTTTATTCATTGCTCTGAAAATCAAGGTTTAATCAGTATTGCCTCAAAGGTGATATGAAGCTTTAAACAGCATTAGTGCTGTGTATTGGAATCTCAGATGTATGATGCTGCAGACATAAATGTAACTGACATCTGCCTTTTTCCCTATAAAATGCTAAATATAAATCTGTTTAAATTTCTCCTAAATGTAAATGTCAAAATTGAGTAATATGTTCTTTCCTGCATAAATATTTTCTCTAACACTACAGAGAGGCTGAATTAAGTGTTGAGGATAGAATGGTGGAGCTGGATTCAAATATCAAATAGGTAGATAGATACTTGAATATGGTGGTAGAGATAGGTATTCAAATATCAAATAGCTAGCTCTATTTATTTAAAAAATTGAGTTACAGAAGTTGATCATTTGGTACAAGATGACAGTGACTGCTGCTTATGCTTTCAGCTTTCAGTGTGATTCACCCAGATTCTGTAACAAATAAAATATAAAAAATATTTGGCAAGTGAAAGGCAACAATAAGAAAAGGTTGAAGGCTTCTGATTTTAACCTTGATGATGACACTATGCTTCAGCAGCCCTACATTATGTCTGCTTTAAATGCTTCCAGTTGTTTTCTCGGCAGTATTTTAATGTTTCATGGTTTTGTCTGAATATTTGATTCAGGGGGGACTCGGTTTGGTGTTTTATTTTGAGGTTTTTTGTTTGTTTGTTTGTTTTTTACAGAACCTAATTAAATGTCTTAAGGCCATGGATACCTTGCAGAGCTAACTCTGTATCCATATACAGTTGGGTAACTGGCTGTAAATATTTTATATCTTTTCCTAAATCTAAACATGAATGTAACTGGTCAGGCTGCATGATGGAGTCATCTGACCACTAAAGAAACTAGCATTTTCAGCGTGCATTTTGGATTGGAACTCATAGAATTCTCCTATGTCCGTTTTGCTGTATCGCATTGGTGCATGGACCTTTTTTTCTGGCAAATCACACTGCGCTATTGGTGTTCTTTTTATACATAACATTTAAACTGAACCTTATTTCTTTTAGCACCTCATAAAACACGTCTCACTTCTGCAAGACCAAAGCCATCTGATAAATCACAGACCAGACCTGGTAAAAATTGTTTATTCAATTTGGGGTGGGGAGGAGATTAATTAGTTAATTAATTTCACCTATTCTCAGTGGAATTTTAAGTGTTGCTGGAAAAAAAGGGTATTTTTCTTTCAGCTAATCAGTCTAGAGGTAAAGCCTTTCCAAATCAGAAAAAAAGGAATCAAAACTGTGTGTATCATCACAGCAAGTGTTACTTTTTATTCTCTAATGTGGAACTGTTGACATCACATAAAAGTCTGTTGGGTTTTCTTCTCATGGAACTTTTTTTCTTTTTTCTTCTCTTTCTTTTTTTCTTTTTAAATTATCTTACAGCTCTTAGTAAAACCACATTAGCACCAGCTAGAACAAAAGCACCTGGACTGCCAAAGTGGATTGTGCCAACAACAGGTAGAGCTGCAGTTTTGGATTTTTTTTAACTTACCAGTAAAATACAGGAATGTGACTTCCTCAAATCCTCTTGAGCCCTGCAATAGTACAGACTTTTTAGACGCAGATCACGTTCTACTTACTTGAATAGGAAGATAATGGATATCACTAAGTTATCAGTAAAAACATAGGTGGGCCATATATATGCCAATTTTGCACTTAATGTTAGCTAGAGTTTGAACATATACAATATACAAGTATTCCATTACTTGGTACTGCACTGTAGACACTTATTTCATTTCCTTTGTTTCACAGATGATGTATATACTCTTGAGGATATTTCCAGACAAATTGGCGTGGATGTGGAAAAACATTTGGAATATAGTCATACCTGGGAAAAGCCAATTTCTGGTAAGGTTAATAAAAGAAGAAAATATAGAAATTGTTAACATTTATGAAAAATAGAAACATCACCTTTCCTATACAAAAAGCACCTCCACTATAAGAAGAGAAAATAATTCTTAGCCATCATCATCAACACACTTTCTCTTGGCTTCAGGATGCTACTAAAAGAGATAAAAATAAGGTTTCATGGTCACGGCTTAGTGACTAATATATGCCATATATTAAAAATTACTGCCACCAGTTTTCTATCCTTATGATCAAACAGCCACAATGCTGTAAGCATTGATTTTTTTCATACTAATCTTTTCTACATAGCAAGGGACAATAACATGAATGCATAACCAAATTGTCCTCCCATGTATGAAAAAGATTTGTTGAATATTAGGATTGCTGGGAAAATTAGAACATTAGGCTTGAAGCAAAGTAACCACATGGAGTAAATAAGGTTACAGGGTTTTTTACAAGTGCTGTACCAGGTTTGTGAGTTTTACTTTTCTTGCAAGTCTTGCAATCATATTTTCAAAACAAGCAAAATATTTTTACTGAAAAATTACTTCTCAAAATAGGTCTTCAAAAACAGTCTTTTTGTATTTCACTTTTTTCTAGTCAGCTTCTTGGAAATTTTCTGTTTCAACTGAGACTTTTTAGTATAGAGTGTGTTTGTATGCCACAGTTATACATACAAACATGCATATAAACATGTAAACCCCCTTACATGCAGAGAATTTCTTTGTTTCATAAGCATAACCAAGAATAAATCTTGTTTTAGCTGTGCTTGTTTACTGGCATAAAAACTGACTGAAAATAAAATCTTTCTAGTTTTACCTTTGGATTTACTATTCAGATGCAGCTGCTCTTTTTAGTTAGGTTACCCTTTGAAAACATGTTATTAGATTTAAAAAACGCAGATAAAAAGATATGCCTCTAACTAATTTATAAACTGCTGAATTGCCTCTGCACTAAATTTACCTGCACAAAGAGCCTATCTTGACAGCTGAGTTCTGATGTTTTATCTTTTTAAAGTTTATTCAGTCTGAAAATTGTACTTTGCAAATATTAAGTCCAGTGTGATATCCTATTAATAGTAGCTGGATGCAGACTGTAAACTGAAAACAAGGATGGTGGTACTCTGCATTTTTTGTTACTGAATGCCAGGCAGTGGTGTGTACTTAAGTAAATCCAGATTGTGATTTTCAGAGACTGGAAGGGGGTTTTTATGCACATAGATTTGAAGGAACATCTAGATCTGCTTTTACTCATCTTATGACATTAGATGTTTAAGATTTAGAGCTTTGCAGTAAGCCAATACCTTGAACTGCAGTCATAAAAGAGAGTTGGGTATGGTTGTGAAATTAACTACTACAGTTGCGTAATTTTCTTGTGTTCTTCTGTGATCTCAGTTCTCTTCATGAAGTCTTAATATGTATATCAAAATTCAGAATTATAAAATCATAGAGTCATAGAGTGGTTTGGGTTGGAAGGAACCTTTAAAAAGCAAATAGTTCTACCCCCTCACCATAGGTAGGGACATCTTTCACTAGACCAGGTTGCTCAAAGCCCCATTCAACCTGGCTTTGAACACTTCCAGAGAGAGGGGCATCCACAACTTTTCTGGGCAACCTGTTCCAGTGCCATCCCAATGGTAAAGAATTGCTTCCTTATATTCAGTCTAAATCTACCCTCTTTTGGTTTAAAACTACTGCCCCTTGTCCTATCTCTATAGGGCCTGGTAAAAAGTCTCTCTCCATTTCTCTTCTAAGGCCCCTTTAAGTACTGAATGTTGAAGTAAGGTCTCCCTGAAGCCTTCTCTTCTCCAGGCTAAACATCATAGCTGAAAAGTTCCAGCCCTCTGACCATTTTTGTGGCCCTTCTCTGGACCCACTCAAACAGGTCCGTGTCTTTCTTGTACTGGAGACCACAGAACTGGATGCAGTACTCCAGATGAGGTCTGACGATAGTGTAGTAGAGGGGGAGAATCGCCTCCCTCGACCTGCTGGCCACACTTCTTTTGTTGCAGCCCAAGATTACAATTGGCTTTCTGGGCTGCAAGCATGCATTGCTGGCTTATATCTAATTTTTCATCTACCATTATCCCCAAGTCCTTCTCTGCAGGGTTGTTCTGAATCCATCTTCGCCTGACCTGTACTGAGACTGGTGATTACCCCAAACCCAGGTGCAGGACCTTGCTCTGGGGCTTGTTGAACTTCACAAAGTTTGCACTGGCCAACTTCTCCAGCCTGTCAGGGTCCTTCTGGATGGCATCCTTTCCCTCAAGTGTATTGACTGCACCACTCAGCTTGGTGTCATCTGCAAACTTGCTGAGGGTGCACTCAATCCCACTGTCTGTGTCATCAGTAAAGATATTGAACAGTACTTGTCCCAGTACAAACCCCTGAGGGACACCATTTGTTACTAATCTACATTTGGACATGGAGCCATTGATGTCAAGTCTTTATATGGGGCTGTCTAGTCAATTTCTTTTCTGTCGAATAGTCCATCCATCAAACCCATGTCTCTCCAATTTAGCAACAAGGATGTTGTGTGGGACTGTGTCAGAGGCCTTGCAGAAGTCAAGTCAGATGACATCAGTTGCTCTTGCCTTATCCACCAACACAGTCGCTCTGTCATAGAAGGCCACTGGATTAGTCAGGCACAATTTGCCCTTGTGAAGCCATGCTGACTGTCTCTAATCACCTCCCTGTCATCCATATGACTTGACATAGCTTCCAGGAGGATCTGTTCCATGATCTTACTAGGCAAAGAGGTGAGGCTGATTAATAAGATATTGCTATAAGTTAGCCAGTATTTGACTTTGCTTTTAAATACATTTACTTTTTCTGAAAATTTAGTGGGTGTTAACTGAAAAATTTACATTTATGCTAATTACAAGAAATGAAAAAGATAGGTTACAGCACACAAGAATTAAGCTTGATGTGTTAAGAGTCTCTCATAAGAGGCTGCGAACTCTCCTCTTTCATGAAGAGTGACAGAGTCAAGGAAATATATTCCCAGTCCACAAAGGACACCTGAGACTAAATAAATCCTAATAGTTCACCATGCTGCTGTCAGTGCTATCACAAAATCCCTAAATTCTATTGTGTGTCTTGGTTTACAACTCAGTCTCCACACATTGTTAATTAGATTTGGTAGCATCATAGACCATCACCCAAATCATTGTGGAAGTAGTAGAAGGGAAGAGTAGGCATTCTTGTTTTTCCAGAGTGTAGTATAGCAGATTCCACTGTGACACAGTCAACTAAATGTGATGTTTTGGCTTGCATGTAACTGTTGTAGTTGTGTTGTTCAGAAGATACAATAGAAACCACTGACAAGTCAATCCTTGCACGTTTTTACCCCATAAATATCTTGGACAATCCCATTCCCTGCATATGGGCAGGGGGAAAATTAATCATGGATACTACCATGTAGTAGTATCTAGGGTATGATGACTTATATATACAAAAATGCATTATCCTTTTTCAGGTCTTTAGGCATATTTTTTTCACCTCTATCTGGGGATTAGGAATGAATATGAAACCTACAAATGCTATTTTCAAAACCATTAAATCTTCCTGAATTCGATAGAGAATTATTTCCTGACTTGATCTGAGCGATTTTAAAAAAATGTGATTTATAAGGGACTGCAAAAGTCCAAATGAAAAAGGGAACAGAGAAAGATGGAGATGTTCCTGTTTGTATATTGCAAGTATTTCTAAAAAGGCTCTCCCAAATGCGTCTTTGGATCTGCTCCCTTCTTGCCCCCAGCCACTCTACTTATAGGGTAAACTAAGGTCTGATATGTAGGGCCCAAGGTACTCTGTGTAGCCAGTAACTCAGTATCAGGCAACTTGCATATTTGTTTACATTGGAAGAATTATATGCTCTTGAGAATTTTCCCCTGTAGGTACAAAACGTCTTTTGTTACATAAATGTGTTGCATGTATCTCTTGTTGCTTTTTCTTAAGGAAAGAAGTGCAAAGTTGAATAGTGGAAGAAAAACTTTTTCCTTTGCCTTTTCTTTGCATAATAAAATCCTTTATAATTGCCTGGGAAATACAATAAAATATTTTGTAAGTATTAATTAAGAGGCTTAGGTTCTTCTTTCAGACTTCACTATCAAAGGACCTTACCAGATAAATTTAAAAGATATTGGCTAGAACTGCACATTGAAACAACCTAGCTGGGTGCTTCAGGAGTTTCTAACACAATAACTCTAGCCATATCAGTGCATGAAGTGACAATGAGTTCTTTCATTTTTAACTTTTGAAGGGCATAGGATAACATGTTCATGATGATACTTTCCCTTTTGCTACATCTTTTGCTTCAAGCTGAGGGTGACCAGTTTTATCAGTTAGAAAGTACAAAAGATCAGAAATTTTGTCAGTAGGATACTGAAGATGTTTCCAAGTACACTGAGGTGGTGTTTATTGTGGGAAGAAGTATCCCGTTGGCTGCCAAAAAATTACTGTCAACAGAAATGAGTAACTACACAGAAAATGAATTGCTGAAACACTTGTACAAAATCCCAAAGCAGCTACATTTTTTCAGTGTAATCTTGGTTTAAAACTCCATGGCACACACTTCCCAAAGAATTTAAGGCTGAACATACAACTCATTTCGGCTCCTATAACTTCACCTCTCCTCTTTTGATACTAAATCAGACATGAAACATTGTTTGGGAAGTCAGAATATAACTTGTAATGGGTTTCTGATTTTATGGAATTTGAGGCTAAATAATTAATAACACTGTCTTGTAATGTCATTCAGTAACTACTTCACCCGGCCCTCAGCATCCTCCTATACCTCCTGTCAAGCCTACACAAATGCGAAGAAAACCTCTGCCTCCAAACACCGTGACTGGTAAACCAGGGAGTCCAGGTATCTCAGCCTTTTCAGCATAAATATTTTATTATGTGTGAGACAATACTGAACTGACTAGCAGGGTATAGGAGAATTTTATAGTATAGATTCTTTTTCTTTAATCTGTGATATCTATAGAAACTGGTCTTCTGTAACATACAGGCCTTGTGTCCTTTGTCTTCATGCATAAACTCGGTTTTCCTTTTGTTTTCCTAACCTAGTTATGTCAAAAATATCCCTAGTAAGGGAGCTGAAAGCAAAATAGCATAATGGGAGTCATCCTTTAAGAAGATCAACCTTAAGAACATTTCTTGTCTACTATTAGCATTTGCAGTTACTTAATGTGCATGTCAGATGGGAGATACTGAATATTATGCTTCAATGCAGACTCCCAACTGGTTATTTGTAAAGAAATTCTGTCCCACATGTATGGCACATCCATTAACCACTGCAAATAATGAGCTAATAGGCACCCAGAAAACTAACTGCACTGGGAGGTAGAGTGAGATGAGTTATTTCATGTGCAAAGAGTTCAGCTTCATTCCTGTGCTACAGTATTCCTGCTTCTCAGTATCAATATAGGAGCACACAGAAACTTTCACATTTCCTATTTTATTTTAATTTTATCCTGAAGCTAATATTCAGCATCCTTATGTATGTTTTGTCTGTGGATTCTGAAAAAGAATCCTTAGGGTGATGTTATTCCAGACAGTCAGAATCTATCATCTCATTATGCTTAGTATCATGAGAAATGCTTCCCACTTCATATTACTCTCTGTAGTTCACTGGAAATATAAAGGTCTTGGCTCTGCTGTATTTCCTGTTGGCTTTTTCTGGTTTGTTTCACTTAGGGCTTTGTGTGCTATTAAGGCACTAAAGACCTAAACAATTCTTTTTTTGCAGCTGATTAGAAGTATTTTCTTTTTTTGTATTTTGTGCAGCAGATTAGAAGCAAGAATCACCAAGCTGGATGAAATAAATTGTATATTTACTCAACAGAGCCAAGATTGAAATGTGTCTGTACTTGCTGTTGATTGGTGGTGTTTCCTTAGAAATAGCTACAGCAAAATGGAAGATATTGTCAGTCTTAAGCCGTAGCATAAAAATAATGTTGACTTGATACATTTTCTTTTGCTTGTAATGGGGTCTATGCTAATTTTCTCCATTAAGTATCTAATTAATTTAACAGTGTTTTGAAATTTCACTCTTTTTCCATACACTAGAGAGGCCAGGTTATGTGGTAGTCAGCAGCTACCATACCTCCCTAGGCATTCAAGATGGAATAAATTGGTTAGATGATCTGGTTCTTCCTTGTGGGGCCAGTAGCAGATTTTCCTTTTTCTGTGTTTCCTAGTGTTTTATCCAGCTTAGTTTTAAGTATCATAATCAAGTTTCTTCTGGTTCCCTGGAGAGACTGTTCCACAGTAGTAACAGGAAAAATTGCCTCAATGTTCTTGGATTTTCCCTTTCATAATTCTGTCCTGTTTCTCCTTCTCATTAACATTGTGATTAATTCCTTACTTGCATCTTTCTTACTCATCCAGTGGATGAGTATTATGGGAAGGTTTCTATGCAGACATTGGAAGTCTCCTGAATGGAAAAAAAGAAAACAAGTGAGTTCCAGAACCTTTGTGAAACTGGACTATAGTGTGAATCTTAATAAATTTCCAGTTTATTAAGGGAATTAGTGGAAAGTAGGGAGAGAATCTTTATCACGAGAGTCTTAATCAATGTCCACTTTATTAAGGAAATTAATGGAAGGTAGGGATTTTTGTTGTTTTAAACTTTGTTCACCAGAGTTCTGCCTTCAGTCACCATGTTCTTCTGTGTCGTATATGCAGGACAGGTAACTACATTATGTAGTTCTTGACTTTTTTGGAGTTGAGATTTCACAGTCATGCAGTGGTGATTTGGGAGTATCTGCATGTTTTGTGAATGCAGTTCTTGCCTTTTTACAGCTATTTTGAAAACAATCAAGACATCATTTACCATGGATTGTTTGCCTCTTAGAAACCTGTTTTCTTGATTAGGTGAAAACAGCTGAGGACTAAAAGCAATGTCACATAATCTAAAATAATTTTTTAAATAGCTATTTAATACTTGATTTAATATTGCCCCTATCAATCAGTTTCTGTCCAAACTTAGAGTGCCTACTACAGAATAGATCAGTTCAGAAAGAAAGCTTTTTCCCTTGTGTCATGTAGTGCTATAAATGTTGAAAATGTTGGACTTGGTTACATTTTTCTTACTTTCATTTTGAAATGCATCTTAATTTCATTTAGTGGAAGCTCCGTTACTGTTCTGTGGTTAAACTCTTAATGCATACCATAGTTAAGGACTCAGTGTTTATCATTATACATGTTCCAGATCCAGCCTTGCTACTATATATGCTGTATTGTGTGTAGAAATGAAAGGACCTTACCTATATTTGAGGGAAGAATTCAAGTTACCGTTGCTGACTTCAGCTATTCTGTCTTACAACTCATGAAGAAATGTGCTCTTTTATTTGAGAAACAGAAATGTCAATGCTGGTCATTTTACATCCTTTTACCAGTGTGTGTAGGATGGTTCTGTACGTTAAACCAGGCCATATTCTAGCTGACTGAAATCTTCCAGGTAACAAAGAATTTTCTCACTGATTTTCAGAAGTGGGTTATATTGGCAATAAGGACAACTCGGAACTTTCCTCAATCCAACTGGAAGATGTTGTATAAGTTTTGAGGGAATATCATATTTTAAATGAAAGTACTTGTTTCATGAGCAGTTGTCATAAATCTGAGTTCTGTTAGAAAATCAGAAAGCTGTTTCACTCTTTTAAATAGTGAATGCCTTGTTGCCACAAGTTAGTTCCTCCTTCTGTCACTATAGCTAAACATGCTGGACCAACAACAGCTGTGAGGACAGGAACATCATATAAGACGCCAACAGCTTTTGCAACTCCAGAGTATTATGGTGAGCATATTTCAGATAGCTCTGTTTTGTTTTCTTTTTTTTGCCTTGTTTTTTTTTTTCCATGAGCATAAAGGTTTCCTTTTTTTCTTTTGCTTCCCTTCCCTCAACTATATTGATGCATTGCATATTTAATATAAGAATTATTCTGCCTGGGGTGATCTGATTTCCTTTATGCCACTTTGTGACTTCTAACTTGACTGAGTTCATCTGACTGTCTTCTGATACGCACCTTGGTAAATAAGAACACGACAGCCTTTCCATCTTCCTAGAAATCAATACATGCTTAGCAGGCTTTCAATACTATTCTGTGGCTACTTTAAATCCATGAATTGGGTAAATAAGGCACTTCTTTTCGCCAAACATTTCTATTTGCACAGGACATAATTCAAATTATTATTTGACAGTGACTGATAGTGCTCAACATGGTTATGATATCCTCCAGCTATCTAATCAAACTGCCACCATTTAAATAGAAAAAATGTAAGCAGGTAAACATAGCGGTTAGTTGGTAATTTGCCCTTTATAAAATCGGGAGTTAGCTGCAAGTTCAGACCTAAATCTCCTCAAAGTGGCATACAGAAATGGGTTTGGGGGAGGGTGTGCTCAGAATTTTTGAGCTAAAATATGCAGCTCTAGGTATATTGTGATAAATTATGTTGTTTCTAATTTTCTTGGATTTATAGTGTTATTGAAATTCTTATCTCCTTATAATGATCATGAACTCACTGTGACCCTTAGTGCTCAGAAAAGCAAGCTGGGTGCTAGATTTATTAAAAAATGTTTGCTGTGAATATATTGTGTTTTGTCTGCTGAGATCCATTGTAGTATTTGCATCTAAGAGAAGATTCTGTTCAGTGTAGTGGCTATTTAACACAACACTGGTGTCATGAATCCTGACTGCTTTAGCACATTTCCGTTCACCAGTGTATTTACCTTCAATTTCCTTCAAATTTTGTGGACGTTGTTCACTCTGGAGACAGAATTTGTGATTTCCTTGTTGCTACTTTTAGAGAAGTTCATATGCCAACATAACAGTGCTATATAATTTATGAACACAAAACAAGCTCCAAGCTAAACAGCCAGTACAGTGCAAAAAGATCCTTTTTAAAAGGTCTAAAGAGCATTTTGCATATATTACATGAACTGAATCTAGCAGCAGTCATGAACTCTGTAATTTTGATTATGGCTATCTTTATACTAGCAAGTATGGGGTTTAATTAGCATCACAGCCAAAATGGAGTCCTTAAAAGGAAGACACAGATATGGCAGCAAAGGTCTACCATGGAAGAGCTTTACCATGATTTAGAATGACAAATGAACTGTGAAATGCTGCAGTTCTAACACTGAAACTTCATATTTATTGCAAATGAAATTATAACTGTGCTTCCCACAGTTGATGCAACTGTCTTCAGCTCAAGTCCTACATCAGAAACAGATTCTTCAGGCAAACCAAGGTACCAAGGTAGGATTTTAATAGCTATGGTATTTTTATTTGGGGGAATATATGAAGACTGGCGTACCTTGCATCAAAAGTACCTTTTTTGGTTATTTGAGGGCCAAAACTTCATTTGATTTTGTTTCACTTCAGTGTCAGATGAAAGGGCTGTAGTGCAGACCATCAGCATATTCTTGACTAAATTTTACTTCTACTTTCTCCCTTGCTACCACCTCCTCGTTTACAGTCTTGCCCACAAATATATTGCAGCTTTTCCTGTATGTCAGCAGTAGTACAACTGCACACTGTTCACATTCCACCAAACCAAATGAAAATATTCCTGTGGGCTTGCAAGCATACCTGGAGAGGTATTGCCCCAATATCAGTGCACCTCACCATAAGGTATATCTACCCATCATATGTGACTCACCTCTCATTCCAGGCTGTGCACATTCAGGTAGATGATAAAGTAGTCAACTTATTGCTGTTTCAGTAATCTAGAGAGTTTAACAAGGTGAGATGACAGGAAGAAGTGCTTTTGTACCGAAAGATTTTTCAGGGTTTTTTTTCTTGGTCTGGTAAGTGACACTATATTTCAGAAGACACTGTCTTTCTTGCAAGACCTTATTGTTTACATTCAATAGCAGTTTTAACCTTAGAACTAATACGTTTGTCTTCAGTAATCTTCCAAGTTTTGATGCAGAGTACAAGATGTTTGCCCCAGAAGGTTTGTTTCAAGGTTTGGTCCTGTACCACTGAAAATGGTTAAGATTTTGACAGTCACTTTAGAAACTGCAAGTTTAATGATGGAATGACTGGACTAAACTTGTTACTCTTTCTGGTGAAACAAAGTGGTGATAAGCATTACATCTTTGCATTAGCATAGCACTCAAAAGCTGCAAATGGAATTGTAGTGTCATTTTACTATAGAAAGACTAAAATTAATTGTCCTATTATGACAGAAGTTAATTCTTTCAAACAGTGCATATCACCCACTAATACCCTCAGAGTGATATTTCATCAGTGGTGCCAATGGGAAGGGGGTGAAGGCAGTGTAGATTCCAGGTCTAACAACAGGCAGCTTAATATTGAATATATAGGTTTTATTCTTAAACATATTTTGTTTGACTTTGACTTGTTTTTGTTGGTGCCCTGAGATGGAAGTTGTGCACTAGGTGAAATGACATCGACATTTTGTAAAAACACTGTATTGAATAACAGCTCTTTCCTCTTGCTCTTAGCCCCCCATGTCAAGTACATGAAGAAAGATGATGATGTGCCTTGCTCTATCACAAGCTCTCTTGAACATTTTCCTCAAGAAGAAGCTGGCAGCAAGGAAGAACCTACTCATCCTCCACAAAATCCTCCAACCAACCTCACAGTGGTGACTGTTGAGGGCTGTCCAACTTTCGTCATATTGGACTGGGAAAAACCAGACAATGACACTGTTACTGGTTGGTTTGATTTCTTTCCTCCATTGTATACAGTATTTCCAGCTTATTTTTACATTCACAGTGGCATTAATGCCGTTTAAAAAATACTTCAATTCCAAGGGAGTCTTACACTCCAGTGCTTTTATTTTGTGCTTCTGTCACCTCCAGTGTGGATAAGAAAATACTACTAAATTAGAACGAGATTTTCATAACTGTACCATTGGTGTCAGTGATGACACAAAAAGATAAACTTAAGAAGTATGACTATCTTCTTTTAATTTCTGGCTTCTCTGTGTACAGGATCTGGTAAGATCTAGTCAAGAAGTTCCAGCAATGCAACAGTAGTCTTTATTATATAGATGCATACTTGTAATGTAGACATCCTTCTTGACTTGAGGATGTTGTTGATCAGAACTGTGAGGGCTAGCCATTCACTTTAGCATGTAAGTGGGATGTTTTCAGATGTTGTATATGCATGTCATGAGAGATTTCAGTGCAGGGGTATTACTAGGTGACTGTCACAAGCAAGGCCACTCTTTTGCCCTATTTAGTCCTTTCTTGATTTTTTAGAAATAATTACTAGGTTTAGCCTCTATTCTTTCTTGCTCTCCCTGCCATTTTGAAAAATAATAAATGCAAAACCAAAGGGACACTCAAAACAAAAATTAGCCTGCGCTTTTTTCTTCTGGGAAAGAGGAAGAAAATTAGCCCTTCTGCTGGATTAAAAGGGGAGTAAAAAGAGACTGCAGGCTAATAAAAAGTACCACCAAGAGAGAAGAATGGTTACCTGGCTTGCCTTCCACAATGTGCTGAGACCTTAGGTGGAAACCTTTTCTCTGTTCAGTTGTAATCAGCATTTGTAAAAGTTAACTTTCCGTGAAGTTTCTTCTCTTATACAAGACTATTCTGTGACAACTGAGATACCTAGCATACCCTTCCCCATTCCAGAAAAGAAGGTTAAAACCTTCTGCAGAATATGTGGCTAATACTCATTTTGCTTCACTTTGATAAACTTTAGTTTTCAATCTAGCTATCTTCCTATCTAGATGTAACAGCTCTCCCATAAATACCATCTTCTTTTTAACTTCAGTGTGTAATACAAAATGTTTGAACTCTGTGGCTTACAAGTACTCTCACTGAACTTGTCTCCTTCATCTTAACTTCAAAAAATTACTCAGATAGTGACTCATCCAAGGACATTTTCTGAATTCAAGAGAAGGCATTGAATCCCATTTTCTGAAAACAGTGATTACTTCATATTGGCACCAGTATGACATTACTTGTTTAGACAGACTTAAATCAAGTTTTCTGTCATCTCTTTTTATTTTAGTAGTTTATACATGCTTTTTCAATCATCCGATCTAGGCATCACATCTTTTTTTTAATGCGCTGTTTCAGATAGAATTATGGAAACAGAAAATGTAACTTGTTGAGCTGTTTTTTTGAAACTGTTACTTTGCTTGACTTTTAGCTACACACAAGGGGTTTCATTGTATTGGGTATTCCTAAAAACAAAATTGTACTTCTGTAATGGAAAGGTCTGACAAATAATAACCAAAACAGCAATCAAGCTTACCTCCTTCTTTTCATAAAGGCTGCAAATGTCAGGAACCAAGACCATTTCACTGGTGCTCTTCTACTCCTGTTGTGTTGCTACAGAAATGTAGGGCTGTTTGTTGTCCTGTGCACTGAGTAACGAGCAGGTACTGGACACACTCGATAGTTCTTTGTGTGTGCGTGTGTATGTGCGTGCACATGTTTGCATGCCCATTCACATGTGCTGCGTTCTCTTTTCCAACTTGAATGAATTAAAAAGTTCAAATCACATATTGACTTGGGGCTGGCAGAAGGCAGAAAGATTGAATTGCTGTAAAATTACCTACTCATTCTCTATCTGGATGTACCTAAGGCAGTGGATATCCACCCTCTCTCCCATGCCTCCTAATAAACCTAATTTCTCTAATGAGGCTTAATTAGGGCAAATAAGGGGTTTTGCATGTTTTGGGTTTTTTCTCCGTGGTTCATTCAGCCCTTGGTGGCTATATAGGAAAAGCCTTTTTTCCAAAAAGGAAATGCATAGAGAGAAAACACAGATATGTTTTACACAAATACATACCAACTATCAACGCTAATGTCTTTGGTTATTGCATTGGGGTCCCACTTGAAGAAATGTTGTAAAGTAAAAGCCCTCTACTTAGTTTCCCCCCCCCCCCATCTGAGACACCTATTCCTGCAGGTCCATGAGTTTGTTTTTAAAAGGCAGCAGTTGGTCTTTTGCTGTTCATGGGTGACTGTTGTGGGGGAGGACTTGTGAACACGGACATTTTGAAATCTTCAGCATGAGCAGTAATTCCTTCCTTCATGCTGACATTCTGACATACTTTTAAACCAATTCTAAAGTTTATATTTCTCTGTATATGCTCTGAATAACTGAGTCGATTACAAGGTAAAGATAAAAAGATGATGTGTGTTTTGAAACTATTGCAGTAAGTCTAAAATTCACATGCGCATATATGTATATAATTGCTCAGATTCCGTTGCTGTGGTTTAGAAGCTTGGAATATTAGAACATAATTTTTTAGGGCTGCTCTTCACTTCCACTTAATGGCATTGTCTTACATAATTTACCCCAGCAGTTTTGATAGCTGCTTTTTGCATAGAAGAGTGCAAAGGAAGACAGTTGCACGGTTGAGGTCAAAATCAGGTCAATTTGTGTGTGTATGCTGATTTACATACACATCTTCTACATGCACTAGGAGTGAGGATCTGAAAGTCCAACAACAATTAAGAGAGGTTTTTTCCTATTTAACACTGAATCCCGTTGCAGGTGTTTTATCTTTCTGTGTTGGCAACAAATGGGTCTCCTTGTATTGAGAGCTAAAAAATCTTGCAAAAAAAAAAAAAAAAAAAGCCCTACAGCTTGCTAGCATTTAGTTAAGAACATGAAAATCAATAGTATCATTAGAAAAAAAAACAGGAAAGAAAGTAGTTTTCTAGAGGTTTTGTTGCTGTTGATAGGTGGTCTCTGTCCTCACAGTATAATACCTGCTTTATTCATTGTGCTGTAGATCTAAATGCTCATTGCAAATGTTCTTTGAAAATATTCTCCTTTGCTCACTTACAAGTAGCAAAGCTTCACTTGGTATTATAGACAGGTTTTAGGAGGGGAAAAGGAAGGGGCTGGGGAGGTTGTGAAGTTCTTTGCGAAGAGGGGAAAATTATCAATATATTCAGTATGTTTATTAGAAGAGATTGTTATGAATCAGGACAGAGGTTGCCTGCTAGAGAGAGACTATATCTTGGACAGAGCTATGTCAGAAGGGGTATCTACTTCCCAAACATCTGTTGTTAATTCCCTGTTCAGAGCATGGCATGTGCTTGATGATACATCCCAGTGAGATGAAAAGAAGGTAGTGAGACTCTATAAATAATATAAATACAGAAATAAATTTATGCAAAATTATTTCATTCTAAACTGGCAGATTCCCTAAGTGCACAATCCAAGTTAGTTGGGCAGTTTCCTTTGGAAATCTTAAAAACAGAGGTCTTATTTTAAGTTAGTCAAGGTTTAAGCATTTAGAAACCATACTTTCATCTTTGCTACTTTTTCATTCAAACTGCAGAATACTTATTTGTATATGGAATTTTGTCACTAGTGTACCTTTGGGCAGAGGTAAGATGTTAAGTATCCTCTATTCCATAGCTGAATTATGAGGAGTGATGAGGAGCAAGGCACTCAGTTATCAGGAATTGGATCTCTCTTTCCTAACCATTGTAGCATAATAATGTCCAGACTGGTTCACACAAGATGTCCTTTCAGCCTATTAGACAGTAGGAGTGGAAATCAGATGAGAAAAGGGAGAGCAATGAAGAAGCTCAAGTAAGAGCTGTTATTTAAGCAAATATCTTTTTACTGTAACTTTCCAGAGTATGAGGTTGTGTCAACTGAAAATGGAGCAAGTGATGGTGAAAAGGAGAAATCAATTATCACTACAAATCAAACCCATTCTACTGTGGAAAACCTGAAACCTGACACAAGGTAATTAAATAAAATAATTTTCTAAGTTAAGTCAACTAATTTAGACTGTCAACTGTCTGCCAGTTCAAATGAAATTACATATGTATATAAGCGCAAATTGGTTTTACTCCTGTTCTGATACGGAAAAGGTATGCTTTGGTTTTGCTTTCTTTTAAGTTAACAGATAAGACACATCTGAGGAATCTTTAAGCAATTTCCAGGAGTATTTATGGTCTGGACAAACCGCAGAAGTGACCTGTTCTATCAGAAAGATTAACAGTCAAATGTAAAAAATGTCAAAAAATCTCTTGAATTTAGCAGATAAAGAAACAAGGTGAACACAAAAAATATTAACCTGATACATGAGATCAAGATTTATATGTACAGTTGTCTCTCTCTGGGGTTTAAGGATGCTCAGCCCAACTGACATAGGCTGCTTGCTTATTTAGATGGATGTTCATTCAAATATGGGAATGCAAGTTGGGCCACTGTATGAAGCTTAGCTATTGCATTGCACCATGGAAAGGAAAGATACATTTGTCCTGTGTATGTAGTTTTCTTTCAGTGTCTTGAAACAGCTGGCAAGTTAAAAATGGGTTAGTGAATTCCATTTGATGGCATACATCTCATGCAACTAGTCCAAAAAAGCATTATCATTCTTTAAAAAAAAAAAAGAAAATCCCATAAAAAAATGATTCTTCTTTTTTGTGGTAAAATTCAGAGCAGGGAAGAAAACCATTTGTCCTTTGTTTGTGTTGCTTATTGATTGCATCAGAAAGTTAATGAATGACGCGGGTTTTTTTCCTGTAAGACCATCCATTTGGCTTTCATAACTGGATTTTTCTGTTTCAGATAAATTTTCTATTATTATCCTTAAATTGGTAATACAGCGCAAAATTCTACATAGAACCCATCTTGAACATTTATTTTTAGGTAACGTGTGAGGTTTAATCTGGGATGTTGGTTCTTAGTTTATGTACTTGTGACCAGCAGCTCCTAGGAGGAATGAGGAACTATTGCAGAAAGTGGACATGTGAAGGAAATCAGAAAATTAAAGCTAGGGGAAATGGTGATACCCAAAAAGAGCTTTTTTGAGAGACTCTAAAAGCGATAAGATGGGCTAGAGTTGCTGTGTATTGCGTCAAGAATATTTCTGTTATTTCTTAAAGGCACGTGGCTTGTGAAAGTGTAAACTGCAGCTATGTTGTTCTGTCTTGTTAAGAGGCAATGAGAATACGTTGGCAATACAACTGGACGCTAAGCATCAGTTTCCTCAATCTCTTCCTCAATAAGTTGAAAAGCCTTAGAAGAGACAGCAAAAGAATATATTTTTGGAGCAGTGATTGAGAAAAGCAGTAGGTGCTGCTAAACTTGTCAGGCTATGCTCTTTGTGTTTTCATTTCAGTTCTGATTTGAAATAATACAGCTACATCCTTGAAAAGAACTGTGTATTATTAATGAGATTCTCTCCCATTACACATCTGAACTCTTCATGTCTCCTTCATGTCTTTCTGTCACATATGGTGACAGAAAAGGGATGGATTTAGTGAAGTGTAGAAAAGACACGGAAGCAAAGTAAAGTACTTGTTGCTGACAGCAATGTCCAGATGGCCAAAAGAGAAAAGCTTCTTTAGAGTGCTCTTTGTTCAGAAAGGAAGCAAGATGGAGGCAGGGACACCCAGCCAGAACCATTGGAAAGGTCATAAGGAATGCAGGAGCTATGCAGAAGCAGATAAGATGGTTTTTAACTTCAATTAGTAAGAATTCTGTCAATCCTATGAGAGGAATTTCAGGCTTTGGTAAGCAAGAGCAGACCAAAGGCCATGGAGAAAAGCTGTCTTTTGGAGTGTGGATTTTGTTAAAAGAAGCTAGCTATAAGGTCAGTACCGACTGATGGGGTGGTGGCTATTATTCCCCCCTCCCCCCCCAACCTCAAAAGGGAAAGACAGTGAAAATCGTTCTGGATTCAGGAGGCCATCACCCGAAATTTAAAACCTTTGATATAAATTGCCATGGTGCATTTTATACCTTGAGTGTCACAGGGTTTAAAGGATGTAAAGTCCTTCTCAGAGTGGCTCTGTTCAATTAAACTCCCATTTCAAAATATGTATTTCCTAATTTTGAGGACGCCTTGAGAGCTTTGGCAGAAGTACAAGAAATTGTTACTGTTACCATTTGAATCCAGGCTTGTTGCCATGCTAAATTCAGGGAAAATAAGAAAGTGATTAAGACAGCTGGCATCAGGTGGACAGTATTAGTGCTGCAAGGAATGGCATATGTCCATAATAAAAGTCTCCTGTCTGCGAGGAGCTGATTGTTCACTAGATGAAGAAAATGGACCTGTGGACAAAACTGAAAATAGGAGGAAGAGACACAATGAAACACAGCTCAATAAATTAATTAACAGAGTCCCTGAAATGCCTGCAAAATCATCAAGTAATACATTAAGACTGGAAAGCAGACTTTTCCACAACTAGCCTTAAAGGAAAGAGCTGTAGAAGAAATGGAGCTGGAAAAGAAACTTGGAAGAGGAAAAAGAAATCCCTCTCGCAAATGATCAACATCTACAAAACTATTAGCAAGTATATGGAAAGAGAGATGCTTAGTAGCAGAACGTGGATTAACTGGGGAAGAACCTCTTGGCCTTGAAACACTTTGGAGAAGCTGACAAGTTGAATTTGAGAGTCTATTTTTTTCCAGCTTTCCTGAAGCCATCAGTGAGGTTGTGTGAATCCCCTATGCTGCTCTGAAAGTTCAGCGCATCCAGAGCTGACAACAGTTCAGGACAGACCTAAATCAGACAGACCTAAGCACTTTCCAAAAGGAATAAAAATGTTTGTGAATGTCTCAGTCTCCATGCATAAATTTAAATCAGAAAGATCTTACAGCAGCAAGACCATTCAAGCCTGTGATTCTTCAGATGTATGCTCTTGAGGAGCAGTACATGACAAAGATGGTCTGCAGTCACATTGCCCAAGGTCTATCATCCCCTTGAGATAAATCAGGTAGGATATGTTTGTGCCTGGCCCAGAAGCTAAAGAGTTAATCGCCCACATCCAGCAGGAGGGAAGCAAGACAAACAACACTCCAGTGTGAAGGGGGCAGAACAAGCAGCAGGGAAAAACTGGTTGCATCTGAGCCTGCCAGATCATGCTGTTTGTTTGCTTTTCTTTTTTACATTATTCTTTCAAATAGGTCATACTGCTACACCTCTGGGAAGCTCTGCAGTAAGTCAGACACCCGTCTTCCTTTGAGCTGGCCTTTTGACAAGGCAGCTTTTAAAGATTAGGAGCTAATGGCCAGACTTTGAGTATTTAAGAAATTTGGACAGTGTTAGGGAGGCAGCAATGAGAGGCTCTTACAGTCTCATGAAAAATTGCATGTGTGACTGCAACTGTCAGTAAGTACAAACAGAGAAGTTAAATGGGATACAAATTTCTCTGAATCAGAGGATTATCGTGTTCTGTGTGTCCATTTAGCTGTCTGAAAAGTGACTAGATCCAGCAAAAAACACACTCTGGCTGAAAAAAAGAAGGAGTTCTGACTTTCAGTACAGTTACCAAGTATTTGGTTTTAACAGACTGATACCATGCTAATATGGAAATGAAAATGGACTTCCATAGGCATACAACAACTTGTGAGGGTCACTTTTAAACAAATAAAGTTGTATATATTAGGGCAGTTTGTCATATTTCTTGTTTGTCTTATATATGCCAGCTTTGTGTGTTCTTGGTGACTTGATTGCAAGACATCGAGATTCTTAGATGAAAGTAAAATAGTGATTTGAAAATCCATCTGTGAGTTCATATATCCTTCAAATAAATGTGGGGCATGGTCAGCTGCTTTCCAACACAACTGCTTGATTTTTTTTTTTTTTTTAAAAGCGCTCTAAAGGCTCCTGTACAATGTGATTTTGTTGGAGCGCTGACATACCTATGGTTTTTGCCCAAAAAAAGGCACACTGTATCCGTGCCATTCTCTCACAGTAAGGCATGCCTGACAGTTGACAGCATCACATTCATTTAAAAGATCCTTACAGGATGAGTACGTCAGTCTCTTTTTCACCTGGAGAATTGACAAATATGGTGCTTGCAGTAATTCCCTATCACATCTTAGGAAACTTCTGATAGTTTAACCAACCTGGAAAGTTCAAACCTTGATATCCATTATTTGGTTCTTGAAACTGCTACTGTTCCTGGCACTAAGCTGCTGTCTGGATCCAATCTGGAATTCTGTTTCATTTTTATCAGATATTTTGCTTTTGATTGTGACTTTTACCTGAAATCTCTCAAAGCGTGTAGTGTGTTTATGCTACGTGAGCTAGGTAACCATATATATCCTTCTTACACAGATAGTTAATGGGTGCCTGAAGAGGAAAGCTTCCTCTTGTTTTATAAATGTCTTCTGCTTGAATGTTTCTATTATATACGTGCTTCTGTGATCTAATCATCACACATACACCGCTGTTGATTACAACTTTGTCCTGTAGTTAGCTTTTGTTACCCTTCACATTATTTCAAAGAATTTTAGAGTAAGTCCAGGTCACATTTCACTCAGCCCTCTTTTCAGTATCACACTTAAACACACACCACATTTTCTGCAGTGTTTGCCATCTTTATCCTTCAGTTAGTCATTTAAATGTTAAATGAGTGAAATAGCCAAATTCCATTCATCCTTCTTCCTTCTAGTTAGTCTGAACAAGTACTGAGCTACTCAGTTTTTACTCTATTGTTCAAGCATGAACATCTGTAACTACTGTGCTTGTTGATCGACCCTGAGCAACCTAATGTAGCTTTTAAGTCAGCCCTGTTGTGAAAAGGGGCCTGGACCAGATGACCTTCGTAGGTCACTTCCAACGTAAATTATTGTATGATTGTATCTTAGGGCTAGTTTCTGATCTTGTAAAACTCAATTTTGCCCATTTTATTTAATGAAGGCCGAAGTTGTTTTGTATGTTAATGCAAATGTCATTCATTTCTTGGGGGGGGGAGGAGGGGGAAGAGAGATAGGGATGCGCTAGT